ATTAAAAAGGCCTAGGATGGACTCCCAGCCAAAGCTATGGGACAGAAAACTGTGCCCTCCTGTGCTCATAAATCGGTATTGCGGCCACCCAAAGAAATAAACCTTTTTAATGGCATTTTAAAATGACCGTATTCTCTATCTTTATGAACGGTATTAACACCTTATTAATAGACGAAGGTCTACAAAGTTAGATGGGCGGCGAACAAATTAATAAATGCCATTAGTTGCAACGTCTCACGTCTCATCCCTTTTACCCCTACTTTAAATGATAAACCTATAAGGGAACGATAGGTTATGTACTTTTTCAAAATAAACTACATTTATTTTTATATTGATCTTTCCTAATAAAAATACACAATATTTCAAATAGATATTTGATATTGCGCTTATATTAATACATAGGTATCTCTAAGAAATATAGTTTAGAAACACCAAACCTAAATACAAACCTACATACGTACGATCTCCTTAAAGAAAAGGAAGGGCAGGACAAACAAAACTATTCTTGAATAAAAACATCTGGGTTTGCTTGAAGGGGGCGAGCGGGGTGCACTTTTAGGAGCAACCTCTTAAGGTGTAACACAGGGAAGCGCGATACGACTGGATCATGGAGAAAGCTAGGGAGTTCCAGAAAAACATCTACTTCTGCTTCATTGACTATGCTAAAGCCTTTCATTGTGTGGATCGCAACAAATTGTGGCAAGTTCTTAAAGAGATGGGAATACCAGACCATCTTATTTGTCTCTTGACAAACCTATATGCGGCTCAAGAAGCAACAGTGAGAACTGGACACGGAACTACGGATGGGTTCAAAATTGGAAAAGGAGTCCGGCAAGGCTGTATACTGTCGCCCTGCCTATTTAACTTATATGCAGAGCACATCATGAGAAAGACAGGGCTAGATGAAACAAAAGTTGGAATTAAGATTGCCGGGAGAAATATCAACAACCTAAGATATGCAGATGATACCACTCTAAGGGCAGAAAGTGAAGAGGAACTAAGGAGCCTCTTGATGCGGGTGAAGAAAGAGAGTGCAAAAGTTGGCTTGAAACTCAACATTAAGAAAACCAAAATCATGGCATCCGGCCCACTCAATTCCTGGCAAAGAGATGGGGAAGAAATGGAGGTAGTGACAGATTTTATTTTTCTGGGCTCCAAGATCACCTCAGATGGGGACTGCAGCCAAGAAATTAAAAGACGCTTGCTCCTGGGAAGGAAAGCTATGGCAAATCTAGAAAGCGTACTAAAAAGCAGAGACATCACCCTGCCAACAAAAGTGCGTATAGTCCAGGCCATGGTTTGCCCAGTTGCAATGTATGGCTGTGAAAGTTGGACCATAAGGCTGAGCGCCAAAGAATGGAGGCCTTTGGACTATGGTGCTGGAGAAGACTCCTGCGAGTCCTTTGGACTGCAAGGCGTTCAAACCGGTCAGTCCTAGAAGAGGTCAACCCCGACTGCTCTTTAGAAGGCCAGATCCTGAAGTTGAAACTCAAATACTTTGGCCACCTAATGAGAAGGAAGGACTCACTGGAGAAGCGCCTAATGCTGGGAAAGATTGAGGGCAATAGAAGAAGGGGACGACAGAGGACGAGATGGTTGGATGAAATCACTCAAGCAGTAGCTGTGAACTTAAATGGACTCCAGAAGATGGTAGAGGACAGGAAGACCTGGAGGAACGTTGTTCATGGGGTCGCGACACGACTTCGCAATTAACAACAACAAAAGAAATAAACCTTTTTAACGGCATTTTAAAATGACGGTATTCTCTATCTTTATTAACGGTATTAACACCTTATTAATAGGGCGCATTGGAAGAAAACTCCACTTAGGGTCTCCTACTTCAGCAGGCGGCTGGACTAGAAGACCTCCGAGGTCCCTTCCAGCTGTATTCTGAAAGAATTTTCCTCCAATGGGATTTTCCCATGTATTTTACCAGGAAACATACATAGGGCAGCCTAGAAAAGTCAGTGCCCTCCTAACCATACCCAAGCACTCCGAGTTTGTTGGCGATGTCCATTTTGCTCTAGGAGTTCATGGAGACGTAACCCTAACCCTAAGTGGAATTTTCCTCCAATGGGATTTTCCCATGTATTTTACCAGGAAACATAGAAAGGGCAGCCTAGAAAAGTCAGTGCCCTCCTAACCATACCCAAGCACTCCTAGTTTGTTGGCGATGTCCATTTTGCTCTAGGAGTTCACGGTGACGTAACCCTAACCCTAAGTGGAATTTTCCTCCAATGGGATTTTCCCATGTATTTTACCAGGAAACATACATAGGGCAGCGTAGAAAAGTCAGTGCCCTCCTAACCATACCCAAGCACTCCGAGTTTGTTGGCGATGTCCATTTTGCTCTAAGAGTTCACGGTGACGTAACCCTAACCCTAAGTGGAATTTTCCTCCAATAACATTTTCCCATGTATTTTACCAGGAAACATACATAGAGTAGCCAAGAAAAGTCAGTGCCCTCCTAACCATACCCAAGCACTCCGAGTTCGTTGGCAATGTCCATTTTGCTATAGGAGTTCATGGTGACGTAACTCTAACCCTAAGTGGAATTTTCCTCCAATGGGATTTTCCCATGTATTTTACCAGGAAACATAGATAGGGCAGCCTAGAAAAGTCAGTGCCCTCCTAACCATACCCAAGCACTCCGAGTTTGTTGGCGATGTCCATTTTGCTCTAGGAGTTCAAGTTGACGTAACCCTAACCCTAAGTGGAATTTTCCTCCAATGGGATTTTCCCATGTATTTTACCAGGAAACATAGAAAGAGCAGCCTAGAAAAGTCAGTGCCCTCCTAACCATACCCAAGCACTCCGAGATTGTTGGCGATGTCCATTTTGCTCTAGGAGTTCACGGGGACGTAACCCTAACCCTAAGTGGAATTTTCCTCCAATGGGATTTTCCCATGTATTTTACCAGGAAACATACATAGGGCAGCGTAGAAAAGTCAGTGCCCTCCTAACCATACCCAAGCACTCCGAGTTTGTTGGCGATGTCCATTTTGCTCTAGGAGTTCATGGTGATGTAACCCTAACCCTAAGTGGAATTTTCCTCCAATGGGATTTTCCCATGTATTTTACCAGGAAACATAGATAGGGCAGCCTAGAAAAGTCAGTGCCCTCCTAACCATACCCAAGCACTCCGAGTTTGTTGGCGATGTCCATTTTGCACTAGGAGTTCAAGTGACGTAACCCTAACCCTAAGTGGAATTTTCCTCCAATGGGATTTTCCCATGTATTTTACCAGGAAACATACATAGGGCAGCGTAGAAAAGTCAGTGCCCTCCTAACCATACCCAAGCACTCCGAGTTTCTTGGCGATGTCCATTTTGCTCTAGGAGTTCATGGTGACGTAACCCTAACCCTAAGTAGAATTTTCCTCCAATAACATTTTCCCATGTATTTTACCAGGAAACATACATAGAGTAGCCAAGAAAAGTCAGTGCCCTCCTAACCATACCCAAGCACTCCTAGTTTGTTGGCGATGTCCATTTTGCTCTAAGAGTTCACAGTGACGTAACCCTAACCCTAAGTAGAATTTTCCTCCAAAGAGATTTTCCCATGTATTTTACCAGGAAACATAGATAGGGCAGACTAGAAAAGTCAGTACCCTCCTAAATATACCGAAGCACTCCGAGTTCGTTGGCAATGTCCATTTTGCTATAGGAGTTCATGGTGACGTAACCCTAACCCTAAGTGGAATTTTCCTCCAATGAGATTTTCCCATGTATTTTACCAGGAAACATAGATAGGGCAGCCTAGAAAAGTCAGTGCCCTCCTAACCATACCCAAGCACTCCGAGTTTGTTGGCGATTTTTGTTTCTTCTGCCATCAAAGTGCTTCATAAAATGCTAACGCTGTAATCTACAAACCCACCATTTCCCACCAAAACTGCAATATTGAGAGGAGCGGTGGCCATCGCAACCTCCCACCCTGTTTCCCGCTTCCTCTTGGGGTTTTTACTGGGCTCCCAACCTTACTCCATTTCCATCCCTGTCTCTTTAAAAGGAATAGCCTTAACCTCACTGAAAGTGGCAAAAAAAAGGGGAAACTTACCTGTTTCCCCCCCAGTTCCTTCTTAACAGCCACAGCAAGGGGGGGGGGTGTCACCCATCCGGCAGAGGCTCTAGGCTGGAAATCCAGGGAGCGTGACCTCCTTCCTCCACTGCCTCTTCCCAAAAGGCCCGAAGCTTTCAGCCGGCAGGCGTCCCCACCCTTCCTCCTGGCCGCTACATCAGTCGATGCAGCTGTGACTGGGGGAAGTTAGCAAAATTGCAAGCCGGACTCTGCAAAGACCCGGGTCTCCTGCTGCCCCCAGAGAGACCTGCTTTTCCTTTCTCTTACCTCTGGGCGGTGGGTGGGCTGTTTACGGCAACCCGGAGAGGAAAGGAAGGAATCTCCTACCCTTCCTAACCCTGACTTGTTTTGGACGAAGGTCTACAAAGTTAGATGGACGGCGAACAAAATAGTAAAAGCCATTAGTTGCAGCTTCTCACGTCTCATCCCTTTTATCCATCCTTTAAAAGATAAACCTAGAAGGGAACGATAGGTTATACACATTTTCAAAATAAACTGCATTTATTTTTATATTGATCGTTTTTAATAAAAATGCACACAATTTCAAATAAAGATTTGATGTTGCACCTATATTAATACATAGGGATCTCTAAGAAATATAGTTTAGAAACATCAAACCTAAATACAAACCTACATACGTACGATCTCCTTAAAGAAATAGCAGGGCAGGACAAACAAAACTATTCTTGAATAAAAACACCTGGATTTGCTTGAAGGGGGCGAGCGGGGTGCACTTTTAGGAGCAACCTCTTAAGGTGTAACACAGGGAAGCGCGATACGACTGGTTCTTCTACACCCGGGACTCGGGCGCTGGGAAAACACCATTCAACGGCTGCCTTGCTTGGCAGCCTTCGAGGAGACCCCCGAGACGGGTCGGAACCCCCTTCCCGACCCGGACGCCAAAAGCCTGGAGCGTGTCCCGCCGGCCCCGCCTCTAAAAAGGAGCTAAAAAGAAGCCGCGGCTGAGCTCGCGTAAACGACCCCGAAGTGTGTTATGAAAACAAGCTAACTTCGTCTCTACGTTCCCAATTTAGCCCCTATAGCTGAAAGGGAAAGAGCGCAAAGAGACCAGGTCTCGCAACCTCCGGCGCCGCCGCCGCCACCGGTTCTCGGTCGCATTTTTACAGACACCGGCGGCGAAAGGCCAGGAACGGCCAGGCGGACATCTTAGGGGAGAGGACCAAACGAGTGGCCGGGGAGGAGGCGGGGGAGGGTGGGGATCCCTCGCTAACTAGGTAACAGAGAAAGCCGGTATTTTTCTGGAATCAGAAAATGCGGGGATGGCTCGGCTCACCTGAGGCAGTAGCAGGCTTCCTTTTTTTCCTTCCCGAGGCCTCGCCGGTAGACGTGCGCTCCGTCCACGTAGTGCAGAAAAGAGCACGGGAAAAAGCAGGGAACCGTGCTGCCAACGGACAGGAAGCTGGGGACGAATTCGGCGGACGGACAGGAACTCGGCCGTACTGGGAACGTCGTCGTCGGTGGTCATGCTACGGGACGGAAAACTGTGCCCTCCTGTGGTCAAAAACGGGTACTGCGGTCGCCGAAAGAAATAAAGCTTTTAAATGGGATTTTAAGGCTATTTATTTTCCCCCCGTCTTTATTAGTAACCTCTTGTTAATATTAATAGGGCGACGAGAGGCCCTTTTGCCATTTTCGAAGGTTTATTTCTTTCGGTGGCTGCTATACCCGGCTTGGCTACGGGAGGGCACTGTTTTCCCTCCCTTAGCGATAGCGGCATTGAGGCCGTGGAAAAGGCCTACGGTGGCCTCGATGGTAAATACTATGGGACGGGTATTGCGGCCGCCGAGGGAAATAAGCCTTTTGAATGGGGTTTTCAAGGCTTACCTCGTGGAGTCCGCCCTGCCCAGAAGGTCCCCGGAAAAAAAGGAAGTGGAAGGATGATTAAGAAGGACGGACCGGACGTCGGCCATATTGGGAAGGTCGCAATTCAAAGCCCCTGGAGGACGGCGAAATTGAGCGGACAGGAAGTCGGACATATTGAGGAGGTCTACCCGAAAGGAAGTAAGGGGGGAACATTGAGAACGAAGGGACGGAAGTCGTTTACCGCAGCACCTGGGGGACGGCCGACGCCGACGGACAGGAAGCCCGCCGTCCAGAGAGGGCCTCTCGCCGATTAATCGTCAAGAACCAGCCGGCCGACATGCGCAGAAGGCCGAGGGAAGCGGCCCGTCCCTTTCGGAGGAGCATAGAGTGGCGACCCTTTGGCTGACGCTCTGCGCTTTGGGGCTTAGCTTCTCGGTGTCCCGATCCTGGGCAAGTGGCCTACGACGGCCTCCCTGTTAATGCTATGGGACGGGAAACACTGCCCTCCTGTGGTCAAAAACGGGTACTGCTGCCGCCCAAAGAAATAAATGCTTTTTAATAGCATTTGAAGCTTATTCTTCTCTATTTTTATTCTTAATGCCTTATTATTAATATTAACGTGGCGACGGGGGGCCCGGTCGGTGCGACACGGGCGCAGAAGAAATCCTGGTTCCAATCTTAAACCGAATTAAGGCCTATCGTGGCTTATTCGTATTAATAAGGTTTTAATAATCAAGAATAATCATCTTAAAGAGGTTTATTTATTTTTCTGGCCGCAGTATCTGATTTGACCAGTTTTCCGTGCCTTAGCAGGGCTGGCTCAGGAATTCTGGGAGTTGAAGTCCACCAGTCATCAAAGAGGCAGATTAAGGCAGATTAAGGTGATCCACAAGGCAGACAAAGTGTCTCCTGGTGTTGATGTCGCACTCGGATGTGCTGGATTGTCGGCTTTTCTTTCTCGGGGTTCTTGTCCGTGTTCCCCAAACACATTTTGTTTCTGCAAATGCATGTTGGTGCGCCTGGGGGAGGGGAACCCCTCTTCCTCCTCCTCTTCCCCCCCCCCCACTGGGAATTTTCAGTTGGGATTTCAGCAACTCCTGGCCTCCAGAGGTCCCCAACCTTTTGGGCACTAGAGACCGGTTCTGGGGACAGAGGTTTTCCCATGGACCGGAGAGTGCGTGGTTTTGTATGCTGCTTGCATCCTACGGATGAGGCTTTGCTTGTTTGTGCAGACCGGTTGCTGGCATGCCGCAGCCCAGTACTGGTCCACGGACCGGGGGTTGGAGACCCCTGCCCCAGAGCTGACGGAAGAGCCTCCTCCTTCTTATGTAGAAATAATGGGCTGCATTCCTGTATAGGTTGGGAGGAAAATCCTGAATATTTCGAAAGTGCTTTGTGTGCAGCTCTAGTAATAATACTACACAAGTCTCCCCTTGAGTCTGTGACCTGAGAGAGAGAGAGAGGGAGGCCATGTCCCGTTCTATCCCCCAAAGGCTCAATTTTGCCCTGAGAAGCTGGTGATCTGAGCCACAGCCAGCCCCAAGTCTTGTTTTCACTTGACTGTTAAGGAGCCTCTGTGCCTTTGTCTGCAAAGTAGATAATCCATCTGATTTCGGTATTGACCCTCCATGTGTAGAGTCGCCTTCCTCCAACGGCAAATTGGCCTGATATTCCAGTTGCTTCTTCACTTCCCATCACCACTCCTCTATGACCAAAAGGAGATCTCCCTCCCCCCTCTCTCTCTGTCTCTCTCTTGGATTTGCCTTGGATTTGAACCAAAATCATCCTGTTGCTTTAGAGGTTATCAGAACACACAGCGCATTCGTTTACGTTTTACAACCTGCCTGAGGGATGAAACTGCACAATCCAAGGTGATGCAAAAGAAAGCAGGAAAACTGCACAGCAGATTCACGGTTGCCCTGCTGAGGATTTCACAATCCATCAGTTGCAGCAGGCAGAAAAAAATAGTGCCAAACCCACAAGCCCTTTGAGTCCTGGAGGGCTCTCGCCATAATGGTCAGCAAGATCAAGAGGCAGAAAACTATACCGGGAGTTTCCAGAATGGTCCTTAGCACTCCTGCGATACACACACACAGGATCTTGGAAGACAGCCAGAGATCCCCTCGAGTACAACGGACACCGTCACAGGCAGGCTTGGTTGGGTTTCAACCTGGCCCTTTCCTCCTTCTCAAGTGATCTCCTCTGAAACCATGCAGAAACGGAGCCCCCTCTCCTCCGCCCCCTTTCTCAGCACCAGGCCAACGTCACATGGCAACAGCTACACCCAGGTGCAAAACCTATCATGCCTCGGACAATAAGGACAGGATTAAGAGCACGAAACAATTTTACCTGGGCTTTTGACTTTGGGGTGACTTTTGACACCCAACCTGAATATCCCCGTGGCTGCCAGGCACTCGCTTACCGAGCTAATGGATCTCTCCATTGCCTCGAGGGAAGGTCTCTCTCTCCCCACAGCCCCTCCTCACCTTTGGCCCTACCTGCCTGCCACACCTTTCCCAGAAAACTCTCTGCCCTTCCACGGGGGGGGGGAGGGTTCTAGGCAGAGTGGATGCACAACAGATTAAATTCCCTGGCAAAATTAGGTCAGTGGATTCTGAAGGAGGCTTAAATATTTCATTACAGAGATTAAGGATGTGATTGCTAGTCGAAGACAATGAGAGCAGGATATGAATCCTGCAGCCTTTAACTCAGCACCTGATCTTTCAGGCAGCAATAAACAGTCAGGCAGATCCACGTGCCTATGCTGGACTGGGGCAACGTGGCAGGAGGGCCCAGAACGCAGGCACACTTGCCCAGTTCAGATCAAACCCTAAAGAGATACACAACAGTCCCTCAGCTCACAGCCATTCATTTAACAAGGCTGATTTGGAGTCGTGACAGCCTCGGAAAAAGTGACTTACAACCTGTACTCTTACTTATGACCGTCACGCTTCCCCCACAGATACGAGATCACCAGCTGGCAGGGAGGCCTGAATATGGCGATTACACGGCCGTGGAGCATCCAGGGCTCAGATGAGAGCACCTGGCTGGGGGGGGGGGCGCTGGGACGGCTAGAATCTCAGAGATCAGTCATAAGTACCACCCGTTCGCATCATCCTAACCTCAAATGGCCACTGAATGGGTGTTGTTAAGTGAGGGCTGCCTGTACAGTTTTTGGGGACATGGATAGTGTCATTCACACAGCTTTCCTTCAACCCGGCACTAGACAGCAACCCTCAAAGCTTGAAACTATGATTCAGCAAAGCCCAGAAAATATTGTGAGTGTTGGCCTTTCCTCACCGGGCATCCCAGAGGCAACTGTCAAGTTGCATTTTACCATCTTGCCCCCCACTCCCCCGTGTGACTTTGACCTTTCCCCCCCAAAATGGAACGGCCTCAGTCTGACTCAGATCAAGACATGGAAAAGACTCTGAGGACCTGCTGAAAGAGACGGAGTACTGAGCTCTTTCACGATGTGGCTAACGCAGAGAATTAAGGGTGGGGGGGAAACAAAATTACTAATTCCCTCCTGCTTTTATTAAGATACCCCTATTTAGACTAAAGTTATGGAGGTAGAGACATTACTTTTCATTCTGCCCCCCCTTCCCCCCTGCCCCCCCCTGCTGTTGAGTTGCTTCACTGGAGGATTTGCCTGGATGGGGCCCTCCACCCCTACAAATGCCTGCAAACACCCATCCTGCAAGGGAGGCAGCCAATCGCCCCCGGGATCTCCTAGACAGGAGAGCCCTCTGGTGGATAGAGGAGGCATTGCAAGCTGCTGGAAGAAGCCAGTATTGCGAATAGGGGCCTCTGCCTGCCCGCCTTCGGCCACTGAGCCCTGGGCAGATTGCTGCCAAGAAGAGGGCAGTGGGTGGCCGCCAATTGGGGCAACTAAGCTCTTTCCCCTGCAGGCCAGCGTGAATTCCCGTGGAACAGGTGCATCCTTCCTTCACCAGATTGATCCTTGATGGGGGAAGATTTCAAGGAGCTCCTGTAGTGGCTTAAGGAACACCAGCACAAATACGGCACCTGTCCAGAGTCACATCCTTGCCAGTGGTCATTTCCAATGAGCTTCCTTTGGGAATATCTTTGAAACACGGATGATGGTCCCTAATTGGGTAATGACCAGTCTCAGAGAGCGTGTTACATTTTGTGGTTCTGACAAGGCTCGGCAGAAACAAACACAGCACTGCCTTATCAATCTACTCCTATCTACCCACTTTACTGGAACATGATATTATCATAATCAAGATTGTTTGATCTGCTAATGACATCCGATTGCTCACTGCTTCTGAATCTTGTCCACAAGGCAGCCTGTGTGTGACAGGGATGACAAAATGGGAACCAAGCATTGTCCTCTGCTGTCTTCTACGAGGGTTGGGACTTTTGTTCCAGTCTGGAGCCACGCAGGGCACTTCACATTGTTTGTGGGGAGGATGTTCATGGCTCATGGCCAAAACATTCTCCAGTCATAAGACTCTTTTCAACATAGCATAACTGCATCAGCAAGACTTGATGGGAAAGGAGGGAGATGATGCATCGATCATTTTTAAAATCTGCAGAACGTTGGGGTTCAACCCTCATAGTAACCAGGTGGGATTTTGGTGCCCTGCTGGGAAGATGAGGGTCCAAAGGGAAGCTTGTAGAGTCCCTGCACAAAGGGTTCTACCTGGACACCTGGCCCTCTTTCCAGCTTCATTTCCTACGTGGATAGCCTGCTATAGAAAACGAGGATGGACCCAGTGCTGCCTCCCATCACATCTTCCTCTCTGCCTTGTCCTTCCTGTAGGTGTTTCCATAATGGGCGGGGAAGAGAAGATAAACCTCCCTTTATCAATCCTGGGCCATCTATTTTTTCATGGATCAGCTATTCAGCCGCCACAGACAGCTTGGCAGAGCAGGAGAAGAACCTGTCCCAGGCGAGGTGCAATGTTGTCCTACGGGAAGCGCCTGGCCTGCCTTCTGGTCGGAGGCGCCATCTACCCAGCCGTCTTTCTGCTGTCAGCCCTTATCCAATACAGAGGAACTGTGTTTCCTCCTGGGATCGATCAACCCCTGAAAGCCCGCATCTATCAGACGATATTCATCACAGGGTTAATTTTGGTAAGGTTTTCCTTCATTCCTTTTTTCATGAACTGGGACAGAAGAATTGTATTGATTTATCCTTTTCTTTAAAAATTAGAATTGGCCCAAATTCATGGACACCTCCATCAGTGGAAGAGAAATGGTTTTTTGGCTTCTTGGGATGGAAACTGTGAAACTGACTGGTCCACCCTCTCTTCAGATTAGGAGACGTGATGGAGAAGGGTTTCCCTCTGTAAAAGGCAATATCCCCCCACCTGAAGCCCTCCAGCTGGGTGAGATGTCAGGTCCCGTCACTTCCAGTAAGCTCCCTTCAATACGACAGGGGAACCTCTGGCTTATGGATATTACTCCAATTTGTAAAGCTTAACACCCTGCTCTATCTACTCTGCCAGAGCCATAACTCACTGCAATTTGGGCAATTCCGGTATGTGTTGAAGGTAGAGCAACAGGATGCAAACTTTTCCTCGCATCCACGTACAAAATGCAGAGCCTGGGTGGGCACACCGCGATGCCAGTTGTTTCATTCTGAAGGACCGTCTGCTTGCTGTGGGTACCATGCTGGTGTAGGAATTCTCACTCTTTGGGCCAAAGATTAAGATAATCTCCCAAAATTAAATTCTCCTCTTCTGTGCTTTGGCCAACAGGGAATTGTTTTAGAGGAACTGGATTTGTGCAGCGTCCCTGATTTATTACGGTTTTGGACTAATGGAGTACCTCCGTGCAGGGATCCGTCCCTTGTGATTCAGAGCCAGAAATTTGATGGGGTGCCAGTGAGGATCTATTCGTCCAGAGCAGCGCCATCTTCAAAAAGAAAAGCTGTGCTTTTCTTCCATGGAGGGGGAGGCATTTGTGGAAGTGTCGGTAAGGCCACAGAGACATATTCCAAGCCAACCTTGGAGAGCTAAGCCAACAAGGTTAGGCCATCTCAGGCCAATATTAGCTGGAACCCTAAAAATATCCAAGGTAATGGAGAAACCCATTCTGGATGGTTGGCTACCAAAACAACATGGAGATGTTCATGAAGCCACCTGGCATTCCACTCAATGACTCTCCCTCTTTGTTTCCCTCTCTCTCTCCCTGTCTCTCTCTCTCTCTGTGTTTCTGTCTCTCTCTCTCTCTCTCTCTCTCTCACACACACACACACACACACACCCACACACACACACAGAAAAAAATGAGGAAGAGTTTGCCCTCTGAAAAAGTATCCCAGAAGCAAGCAGGGGAGCTGAGCAGTGACGGCTGGCCTTCAGCAAACCTCCCTCCCAGGCTTCAGGTAAGGAAAGAAAATAGTTTGCAGGAATGAGCTCTCAGCCAGCGCAACTCTCTGCTGCTCATTTCAGATTCCTACGAAAGAGTCCTGCGCCATGTGGCCAAAGAGGGCGATGCTACGGTGGTAGCCGTTGGGTGAGTGTTGCCCTCCATGCCTCTCTCACCTGCAGCACTGGGGGGGGGGGTTTGTCCAAAGTTATGGTCCAGGTGGAGAGTCTTGCACAAAGACAAGCAAAGGAGATGCATTGGCCCACCCGGCCGCTCTCCGCTCTCCACAACACACACGCACCCGGGCTGGGTCAGGGCTCACAGAATCAAGCTTTCCCCAGCTGGAAAGGGTCCTTGGGGTCGAGCTGAAAGGGGGGAGGGGAAGGGAGTGAGGGCCAGGAAGTGGTCTTAGGGGGAAGGGCCAGACTTCCCAAGTGAGGAAAGGAGAAGCTCCAGATGGAGCTGCCTTGATCCTGTTTGGCAGAAGATTGATTGTACGTGTTAACATATTTTTTTAAAGAAAGTTTTTCAAAAGAAAGCAAGGACTGAATTCATCAATGTACCAAGAATCCATAATAAATCATTTTCTGCTCCTTTTAGGTATGGACTTGCGCCAGAGAATCTTTATCCAAGCCAGTACATTGAATGTCTGAAGGCTGTTGTCTACCTCATGAAACATTTGGAAGATTATGGTGTGGACAGTTCCCGTATTATCATTTCTGGAGACAGTTGCGGGGCTAATTTTGCCACGCGCATTTGCCAGTTACTGGTGGATCGCAGAGACCTTCCCAAGGTCCACGCCCAAGTACTGATCTATCCAGGTCTTCAGGGCCTGGACTTCTCTTTGCCATCCTATCAGCAGAACTGCAGAAGTCCACTCATGTGGAAAAAACTGATCGCCTACCTTTGCTGCCGCTACTTGAACAAGTCAACTTCCTTTGTAAATGAAATTCTGAAGAGCAGCCATGTCCCCAAGGCCACGCAACTGAAGTACCAGAAGTGGCTGAATGCCAACAACATCCCTGAACAGTTCAAAGTTAGGGGCTATAGAGAACAAGACCACACTTTGTCTAGTTTTAACCCTCAGTTCCACAAAGAAATGAAAGAGATGCTCTCTGAGACCTTTTCCCCCTTGTTGGCTGAGGATGCCGTCGTCTGCAAGCTCCCTCAGACCTTCCTTTTGACCTGCGAGTTTGATGTCCTTCGAGATGACGGGCTGCTGTACATGAAGCGGCTGATAGACAACGGTGTGCCGGTAACCTGGAGCCATGTAGAGAACGGCATGCATGGAATAATGCCCCTTTTTGGCTATGGCATCCTGTCCTTTCCTTCAGCAAAAAGGATTGTCCACGATGTCACTGATTTTATCAGACGCTTGTAAGCCTAAAATGAAACCAAGAGACGGACCTCATCTTTTCATCTTATTCCTGAAATGCAGAGAATTAGGCGTCCCAGACCTGTGCTCCCCTTTGGAAAAACTGCTTGAGTGCTGGTCAGTGAACCCTGAACCCGGGTCCTTTCTACTGGAATGCAGCTCTGAAGATCAAAGAGGCTCAGAAGAACTGAAGAAGATGGTCATCCAGCTGCTTCTCAAGCCAGATGTCCTCAATAGTGACAGACGTTGTGCCAATGATCACCACCACCTCCCTGATCTGAAGTGTGTGTGTGTGTGTGTGTGTGTGTGTGTGTGTGTGTGTGTGTATGTGCACACACTCCAGGGAGGGACAGAGAAGGATTGTGCCTGGAAAGGCAGGACCTTCACACCTTGGTCCTTCGACTACTCCTGAGAAAAGAAGTGCAAGAAGACCAACTCCTCCCATGAGCAATTTCAGAATCAGAATCAAAGAATCTCCTCTCTGGGTGGGTGGGTGGGTGGGTGGAATCTGAATTCACTCCTTTCGGTGGAACCCCGAGGCCCAGTCCCCCAGCGGCAAAAAATGCCTCTTCGATTCAGTCAGAAAATTCCCATCCTCAGGAGATGGGGGGGAGGGGGGGCGGTGTCTTCAGAGAGGATGTGCGGAAAGCTCCCCTCCAAAGAAACCCGCAGGGCAAAGTGGCCTCTCGCCTCCAGTCCCCCTCCCCATGCTGGGCCAAGGGAGGTTGAGCTAGGGGACCATCCCAGATGATTGAGGCAGGGCTCCGGAAGGCCACGTTGTGCAGCTGCAGAAATGCGAGAGGCCTCGCTCTGACTTCTCAGCCGGGAGCCTTGTAATTACGCTGATCAGGGCACGGCCTCTCTGAGACCTCGCGGAGGTAAACAATCAGCTCCCCGGGGATCCTTTGGTGTCTCCTGGGAAGGTGCTCAGTTCGACCCACCCCGAGGAAAGGGCTCCTCTGATCAGCAGTGCCCCTTTTCCCTTCACCCTCTCCTCGCTTGGCTCCCCTGCCCACCAAAAAGGCACATCAAAGCCCAGCATCTGAGGTGCCAAGTCTTGATAGCACCAATGTTCGGATCACGGACACTTCAGGAAAGGATGGAGGCAAACTGCATTGTTTTCACAACCAGGATAGCAGCTCGCCTGTTCAAAGGGCTGTATGGCTGGGGAAGCCAACCTCCCTGGACCTCGGGTCTGAAGGCTGACCAAATGCCAGCAGGGCAGCCAAGGCTGTTACGGACGCTCCTGCTCTGCTCTTGGCCTGGGCCGGTTATGATGACCTGCCCCAGATAGAGATTCCTCTGGGGCCTGTGCAGCTCTCCCGCCTCCTTCACTGGGGTCCCTCTGCACTGGAGTTGAAAACACCCCCTTTCCTCCCATTTATGCTGGTGCTTGTTGGATGAACTCTCTTGCGTTAGGGCTCACTGAGGCCCACTCCCTTCTTTGCATCAAAGTTCAGCAGAGCCTTGCAAATGTTAGATTATGATGTCTTTTGCTTTCCATGCTTGCTCCAAGGAGCTCTAGTGGGAATGGAAGCCAAGAGGCAGAAAGAAACATTGCAGCCTGGGACAAGCTGGTTCTGACTCAAATTCTTGAAACCTTAAAAGCTTGTCTTTCTGGAAAGCCTTCTCTGGTTTAATAAAAGTATAGCCTTATTTTGTATCCTTCTGCCCTCTTCTCTTCTTGTTCTTCCCCTTCAAGGTGGCTGGAAAATCACCTGACAGAGCAAAGCAAACACCGAAACGCTTTTATCAGTGCTTGTCTGCTCTGTTTGTTCCCTCGCGAAGGAACTAAACCAGGAACTCGAGGTCCTTCACTTGATCTGAAAGGATGAATGTCCCTCAGAGACTCCAAGGAGGGTTTTCCTTCCGCCTTTCGGCTCCGGTGCATTCAGACCAGGCCCAGCTGCTCATTCTTGTGGCACTCCCTAATGCCAAAGGCGCCCACATACTTCATCCTAGATCGCAATCGTCACATGTGCAGGCAAAGCTCCAAGGAAAGCGATGCTTTGGCTAAGATACTTGGCCAAAAGCACAGCCTTCATTTCCATAATTCCGATAAACCCTGATCATTCTGACAGAGTGAAAATGATGGGAGGGGTTTTGGCAGCCATGCCTTCCTCTTTGCACTGCACAGATCCTCGGCGAGGGGCCGAGCAGGACAGGAGGCGTGGTCCGAGGGTGCTCCGCCCCGACCGCGAAGCCCGAGGCCGAGTGCTACGGTGGCAGCGGCAGTGCTTCCTCCCTCGGTCTGCGGCCGGCGCCCTGATGGCTTCCCGCAGGCGCTGCTGGCGCTGGCGGGCGTGGTGGGGCTATGGGAAGACCCAGGAGAGGGACACAAAAGGGAGCCTCTGAAGGTCCATCTAGATGCCTCTCCAGGACAGAAACAGCATCCGGCCCCATAACCCTGGACCCCATAGAACAAGCCCAGGGATTGCATCGCAACGGAATCTCCCATTGCCGCGTGTCACAAGGGTAACCAAGGCAATGGGCAACAATGGAGAACCTGAGATGAAGGAATGCCACAAAGGCCCAACTCTCCGCTCAGAGAGGAGCCCCTAGACGGAGAAAGAGGGGGAAATCATGATTAACCTATGCAGAGATGTCCAGGAATGCACCCTCCCAAGCTGGAAGGTGGAGCCAAAGTACTCGACCAAAGTGCTGATTGGAAACTGGGGAGAGGAGAGGAGGAGGGTAAGAAAATCGGGGGGGGGGTCAAGGCAGTTGGCACAGGAAATCGGAATCTGTGGGTTCCCAGAGGGGGAGCCCAGCATGGCCGATCTCAGCTTGTTCCTATGATGTCTGCTTATCTGGGTTATTTTAGTTTGTTCGTGATAATGAGGGGACCGGTCAAAGCACCTTCCAACAAGATTTTGTTCCTTTCCCCACTGGGACCCCGGATCGAACCGTGATGCGGAGGCTTATGAAGCGGCTGGAAGTGAGTGACGGGAGTCCTGATCACAAGCCTGGTGCCCCCTCTGCTCCCACGGGGCCTTTTAGTTCCACCTCCCGGCTGGACTGGGAAGGCTTTGCGATTCCAGCCAGGGTTGAGAGGGAGAGCCCTGGTTCCTGCCCCCTCTTTCACACTGAGCCCCATATGGGCTGCTCTCACGCCTTGCACTTGACAGTGGCAGAGAAGAGACTCGTTTCCTGGGTGTGCACGATACACTAAGCCAGACACTAACCTGAGGGGCTGAACTACACACCAAGAAAACCCAACAAAAACCAATCAGGTTTAAAGCAAACCAAACTCAGCAGGCAACACAAAAGCTACTCTTACGTTTAGTCCCGAGTGCCCCCCCCCTGCAGACCAGCCTCTGGATGCTTTTCCCTCCCAAGCTCCCTGCCTCTGAGCAGGGGCTTTGTAGTCCCCTCACAGCCCCCAGAGCCGCCCTGGCTCCGTTCAGGCAGGCCATGAAATTTTGGCCACATGCCTTTCCCAAACAGTCACCAAGGTCTGACTCAGCATTCTGCCCTCCCCAGCCCAGTTCCACCAGTCTCAGTTCACCTCATCAGCCTAGCCAGCCCACCCACCCCCGGGCGTGAGGGGAGGGGCACTTGCAGCCTGCTCCTCCGTCAGGCCCCCATCTTAAAATGCCACTCGTTGCCTTTTAGGGCCTGCCAAGGAAGTATATCTTGACCCACTGTGAAGAGGCCAGGCATCAGCACCTGGTCTCGCAGTACGACGACCAATACAACAGACACGGCCACAACCCCCAGCTGCCTCCACTCCGCAAATGGCACAGGCACAAACTGGCATGGACGCCAGAGAAATCAGACTATCCCCTCGTTGGTAGGTCCCGGGAGGACGGAGGGCAGTGAAGGGTGGAGTGGTGGGCTCCCGAGCCAGAAGGCTGGGCAGGGGTTTCAAGGAACACCTGTGGAATCTGTAAGACCATCAGGTGGACTAGCCGGCTGCGATGGGACAAGTAGGAATTAAAGCAGGTCTCCAGAGCGGGTGGAAGGGGGGGCATCCAGATCCTTGCTGGGTAGAGTCAGGGCTACCAGATCTGGATGAAACAGTCTCTGCCTACAAACACGATTGACACTGCGGCTATCCAATGGGTGCTAGCAGTCTGACATGGTAGTTCTGGAGATGGTCACATCAGCCCCCCACTTGAAGCACCGAAAGACTGCCCCCTCGTCCCGAGGGCCCCCACCAGCATGCAGGAGGAAAGACCCACCTGCCTTGGTGCATCCTCAGTGGTCTTAAGCTTCACTGCCTCAGCTCCTCTACCGCTGCTCAGATCCCTGGTCTAACAATTATTTGGGAACAGTTACGGCCCCTCCTCCCCCTCTCCCATTTCACCTTCCCTTACCCCTCACCTTTTCCCTTTCGTTTTGCTTCCCCTCCTTCCCTCCTCCTCAGAGCCCCCAACCAACTATGGGCTTGTGGAGCACCTGATGAAAGCCTGGCATCGCAAAGAGACGGAAGTGGCCCAGACCGTCTACCACAGCTCCTACCCCAAGCCTCCCGCCTCGGCCTACGCCCCTCGCCAGCGGCCAGACACCAGGCGCATCCTGGAGCAGAGCCGCCAGCAGTGGCTGCCCAGAAGCCTGGATGCTCCTGCCTGAGAGAAGGGCGGGAGCCTCGCAGGGCGGCTCCTCCAGCCAAGCGGACGGGGGCATTCTTCTCTGAGAGGAAGGTGCAGGGGAAGCACCGGCGGCCACGGGCTTCTTGCGGAGATAAAAGGGAGCTGGATTTACGTGAGGGAACGGGAGCCATAAACCACAAATCAAAACCTTGTTGCATCAGCACAGCTTTCCCACAAGCCACCCGGTTAAGAGGAGGATACGAGGAGGAGGAGGAGTTCAAAGAACGGCCGGCATCCGTTCAGGATTTAATGCTTTCCTAGCTCAACCACAATTCCAGGGACATAGAAAATGGAGTAAAGTTTGCACGGATTTCCGCTGAGAAGGGCTTCAGAGAACCTTGTGGTCACTTGTGGCTTTGAGCTCCCTCTCACTCCCCTTCCCCCCCCCCGCCAAATAAAGCCGCTGGGGGCACCCAGGAGACGTGATTGTCCTCTTTCCAGAGGGGAGGGGGCACAGCACTTGGATTAGGACAGAAAGGGAGGACTGCCCCATGTGAGAGCAGGATGCTGGGAATACTTTCCATGGGGGGGGGGGAAACAGGGCAGGGAAAAATAAATAGGTGGAACAAAGACTCCCCCCAACCCCTGGAATCTGACTTGAGTGCCCTCCTCACATACCTAGTTAATAATCACAACATCGCACCAGTTGCGGTCACTTTTACACCAAAAGATCACAGGACGCAACTTTGCACAGGTGTGACACGTACTGGATTGGTCACCATCGTGATGCTACATTTGGGGGGGGGGGGGCGGAGGAAAATTTTAGCTTCCGGGTGAAATGCTCTTTTGGAGTCTGAGCTGCCAGCGTTCGCCCTCAACCTCGCCACGACTTGACCCAGCTTTCCTCAACGGGGCTCTTCGGCCTCAGCTAGGGGGCTGAGCTGCCCTTTGCCTCCTTTGAACAAGGCAGGCGGGTGCAGGGACAGGGAAGGGCGCTCAGCCTTCCTCCTCTTCCTCGTTGCCTTTGCTGGGCGCGCATCGCTGGAAACAGTTCACCAGCAGCGCCAGAACAAAGCTAGAGACGATGGCTGCGACGGAGACGGCCGCCCCGGAGAAGACGATGATCAGGAGGTCCGCCAGGGACAGCCTGAACTTGCAGTCCCGGAAACTGGCTTCCGTGAGGTCGCTGAGCGGCACAGAGCTCTCCTCCGTGGGGAGGGAGCATCGGATCTCACCCAGACCTGCAGCACAGCAGGAGGCAGAGAGGGAGGGGGCAAGAGGGGCACAGAGTAAGGTGGTTTTACTCTTAGGAGTAGCATTCACAGCTCCCCTGCCCAAAATACCGCTCAGCTGAGCCCAAAAACACTGGATAAAAACACTCTTTGTCTTTCTCAAATTATTCAGCACTGCAGTCCAGTTCTCTGAGCTTCTGGCAAATGCTGAGATGCAGATGAAGCAACCCGACAAAAGGAATCCCTACTTAGGCCTGATCTCCTGGGGTGGGGGGGAAGGGGGCAGCTGTGAGATTTGATGGGCATTTGCCAGAGGAGTCTCCAGGGAAGCCCTTTTTCTTCTACAAGGCCTTGCCCCCTTCTCTCTTAGCAGAGTCAGCACTAGGGCCCTAGAAGGTTGTCATGGGAGCATTAGTGATTGTGGCTTTTCCCATCTGGTTCAGCCCAAGGCTGCCTAGACAGACTCACAACCCTGTGCAATTGTGCTACCTGGCAGGAGAGCAGCAGTGGCTCCCTGGGTTCCAGTCTGCCAGCTGCAATCCTCACCACTGGGGTGTGTGTGTGTGTGTGTGTGTGTGTGTGTGTGTGTAGAAGAGACAGGAGGGGAGAAGGAAGTCCCCCGCAAAGTGGCTGCCTGAGCCAGATTGCTGCACTTTCCGTTCTGCCTGGCATCCGGCTGGCACTCAGCTCCACAGAACTGCCCGTCCAGAGGAACTGATCAACAGCCACCACCCCCCCACATACACACATGCCAAATACGTTGGCAGCCTTTGATAGCAGGGAGATGGAGGCAAGGCCAAGGAAACCCATTGGCCAGCTTGACCGGCCACTCCGGCCAGTGAGCAGAGCAGGCAGATCCCTGGGGGGGGGCACTGGCTTCAGGAATGCTGAAAGGAGGCCCCCTCAAGGCCAGGGCCCTTTTGCTCTGGAAACCTGCCTGAGGAAATGTAGAGGATGGCAGAGTCCAGTTGATGCTGGAAAGCCCTGGGCCGGAGGGAGTCTCGGCTCACCCACTGGCCCAGGAGGGCCCAATTCAGACCCTGCGCCCAGGGCGCTCTTACGCACACACGCATGTGCAAGCTGTTTCTCGGATTGGATGGGATCAGCTTCTACCTCCCAGGGGAGACCCCATTCCTATCAAGACCCCCACATGCAGGAGGGCCCCTCCCAGCAATCCATCTGCTGGAAAGCAGCTACAAAAGCCCCCCAACCCACCTAGAGGGCCTGACCTGCCCCAACCAGAGACCCATTTTGAAGGCAGCTCAGCCCCCCCCCCCCAGGGCCTCCCTTCTCTTCTCCGGCTCATCCCACCTGGCTGGGCCCTCCTTTCCACAGGGGCTTCTCAGGGAGATGCTGTGATTTGGGACCACCCAAGGAAAAGGGCAGGGTGCCAGGAGCCGCCCTCTCTGAGCTGGGCAGCCTTATAAATCCAGAAATGAGCAAACACAGAGAGACTCCCCCAGGCCAAGGGGTGGGACCTACAGCGCAGGGAGAGAGAGAGAGAGAGAGAGAGAGAGAGAGCAGGAGGTGGGGAGAAGAGAGGCAGGGAGGGCCTGGGGAGGAGGGAGGGAGGGGGCGGAGTTACCTTGGGGCAGCCGGAAGGCGTTCTCTTGCAGCCAGCTGAAAAGGCCGGCAAAGTCGCAGTCACACAGCCAGGGGTTGCCGTCCAGGCGCAGGGCCCGGAGGTTGGGCAGGCCGGACAGGGCCGCCACGCTCAGCCTCTGCAGGCGGTTGTGGTTCAGCTCCAGCACCTGGAGATGCTCTAGGTTGGCGAAAGCCACCTCGTCCACCTCGGCCAGGCGGTTATTCCCCAGGCAGAGCTTGACCAGCCGCTCTGCTGACCGGAAGAGGCCAGCACCCAGCTGGCTCAAGTTGTTGTAGCTCAGATCTAAGTAGACCAGCTTGCTGGAGCTGCTGAAGGTCCCGTCCGGCAGGGCAGTGATGGCATTGTTCCTGAGCTCCAGGTAGACCAGGTCGCCATGGAAGATGAAGAAGTCCTCCGGGACCCTCTGGATGCTGTTGTTGCCCATCAGGAGCTTCCGTACGTCCAGGGGGAATGGGGTGGGCATGCCGGGCAGCCCCCGGCCCCGGCAGTCGACCGTGTGAGAGTCCGGGCAGCTGCAGGTGGCCGGGCAAGGGTGCCCCAAGGAGAAGGCCAGGCAGAGCAAGACCAAGGGCGGCACGCCTGGCAGCATCCTGGCAGCTCAGCGAGGCCGCGGGAGAGCTGTCACCACCGGCAGAGAAGCCGTCGGCATCTCGGCAGGGTGGCAGCCCCGGTGTTGGCGTGTGAGGCAGCCGAGCAGAGTGTGGTTGGAAGCGTGTGGTCGAGACAGCAGATCACGTATCCTGGATCAGATAGCAGCCGCTCAAGAGGAGGCGGGAAGGCAGCCTGTGCAAGGGGGGGAGGGGGGGAGAGCCCAGGGGAAGAGGGAGGGAGGGAGAAGGGGGCTCGCTGTGCCAGGAGCAGGGTGGCTACCACCCAGGAAGGCCCTGGGTTCAAGAAATAAAAGGAAGTGCATTTCACGCTGGGGCCAGACTGGCAAAGGCAATCTTTATACTCCCTTTGTCTGAATTCGCACAACAGAGGTAAACCTTAAACACAGGTCAGCCAAGGGCTGTGTTTACACGACAAGCAAGTACACTACACCATGGTGGTTTCAAGGAAGCCAGCTGGATGAAACAGGAGCCAAGATAATGGCTGAGGATCCCGCATCGCACCAAGTCTCCATCCATTCAGCCCTGTTTTAGCCCAGTTGAAGAACATGCGGTGGGAAGGCGGCCTTCGTGCCGAGTGGGCAATCACTGGGGGTCCCTAAGCAGAGGAGCGTCCCCCAGATGGCCATGTTTCCCTCCATTCCGGAACCCTTGTCTCTCGCCAGAAAGAGGGAACTCCCCCAAAGCTGCTGCAAAGAGGTTGCTCTGGGGCTGCTTTTTATCCACAGAAAACCCTCAGCAGTCCTGCCTGGGAGGGAGGGAGTGAGGGAGGGTTCTCCTTTCACCACCTCCTCTGCTTGCCTCATCTTCATGCCTGCCTCATCACAGAGGATCTTCTGAAATTCCTGTAACATTAAACCTGAGAGGTGGGGAGGGCACAGGCAGGGCCCGCCCCTTGGGATCCCCTGAACCCCACCCAGTCTCAGGGCAAGGGGTAAGGCAGATCCCTTCTCGGCTGTGTCCATCACTTGGTCAAGCCCGCCAGGAGAGCAGAAGAGCGGTAGCTGCAGCCTTCCCGGGGACGGTCAAACCCAAAACTTTGGCCAGACCAGTAAGCCAGTGGGGGAACTAGATTAACCAGGGCTGGGCTTCTGCTGGGCCGGACAGGGGGCGATTTCTCTGCTTCTTTTGGAACAAGAATTCAAAAATGACCATTAAAATACGGCTCCTCATTTTCCTCGTGGCCGGAGTGACCATCTGCCTCTTTGCCAAGGAAGGTAAGCATGGTGCAAGGTGCAGTTCTCAGTATTTTTGGCAAAATGTGTGTATATTTTAGTTCACCCTCCTGGAACGCTCAGGGCTGCTATAGAATCAATTCATAAATGCAACTTTTGAAAGTATAAAGAAGCCAAAACGGAATAACGCCCTGGAGTTTTCGTCAGTGGAACAGTTGCAGGCAGAAGTTTCGTTTTGTGACCGCCCCCTCAGGGCTCCCGTCAAGCGAGGCTGGGAAAGGAGGGAATGTGCTTGGTCAGTTCCTGGCAATGTGGAGGGCAGTGAGTAATCCACCTCCACGCCTGCTTTCCACAGAAAAAGAATCAGGCTTGCAACAGAAAGGAAGCTGCAGCACATCAGCCGAGGTCCTCCGGGATCCAGCTGGGAAATGTTGCAAGCAAATTGCTCAGGGTGGGGCGCTGTGGGGGGCTGGAGGTGGCGGTGCCTAATGGGTCCGAAAGTTCTCCCAATCCCCCAGAGGAAAGCTTCCCCACCAAGCCTGGGGCTCCTCTGAACGCAGTGGCCAAACCACGGCTGGGGCTGAGGGGGGCTGCCTGTCCTGCACCTTTACCGGGAACCAGGCTCCAGAACAGCTGAACAAGGGCAGAAAATGATGTAATATCAAACTGCCAATTAGCTACTTGTTAAAATGCAAAGCCCGTCAAAAAAAGTAGCCGGTTCCTTCCAGGTCTTCCCTCAGAAATGCCCACTCCCCCAAAAGGCAGGCAGGCTAGCCCGGCCCATTCCTCCCCCCTCCTGCTGCAAACAACAGCCAGGAAGGAGGCGAGAGCCAAAGCGGGAAGGGGGGCGGCCGTCAGGGCTGGCCCCCCTTCAGAAACGATGGGAAGGGCATGCCTGCACATTGGGCTCATGATAGCCCTAAAGCCCCCCCTGTTCCCCCCCCCACTCACAGCTGCACTAGGGAGGAAAATCACACAGTGAGGAGGGACCCACGACCCCTTCATGCCCCGGGGCACAAAGGTCTGCATATCTGTCCCGCTGTCCACCACCCATCCTGGCTACTGCTCTTGTCTCCTCTTCAGCAAGGACAGCTCCAGCAGAGGAGGAGGAGGAGGAGGAGGAGGAGGAGGAACCGGGCAAGGCGCCTCTGGGAGCCAGCGAGGGCCCAGACTACTCCGAAGTGCCCACTCTGGTGAGTGCCCCCCCCCGGCACAGCCTGGGCCTGTTCGCTCACTTGGCAGTGGTGGCGGCGGCAATGGGCGAGGTGGGCGCAGACTCCCATGGGGCTTCCGCACTTGCAGAGCAAGACCCTCCCTCCCCTCCTGGCTCTTTGTGGGGGTTCCTTAGGGACCCCAGCCCTCTCTCCAGACAAAGGGCCAGCTGTGCACCCTGGGGTGGCGTTGCGGTCGGTCAAGGCGCCACCTCGGGCCACTTGGTGGAAGGCCGCCCATCTGTTTAGCTTCAAGTGCCCAGAAAAAAGGGCCGTGGGACCTTTTTTCATGCTAAAGGCGGTTGCACCATCCCCCTGGCCTATGTGGGGAAAGTCCAGGCACTGGGCGACACCAAGATCCCCACACCTGCCACTGGTGTCCATCCCGGGGGAAGGCTGATTCACGACTGCTGCTCTGGATAATTTCAATCTGCTGCAACTGTCTTGATTTGGGCAGGCCATAAAAGAAACAAGCCCAGCAGGCCACCCCCCCCCTCCGGTGGGGCTGCAGTAACAGACAGCTGTCTCTTCCAGGCACTGATGACCACAGACAGCGTCTCGTCTTCCAGCGACCTTGGGGAGAACGCTACGGACACAGAGCTGCCTGAAACCTCGGAGGGTATGGTATGGGTCTCCATGTGGGGCCATTGTGGGGATTTGTAAGCATGAAAACATTATTTTTCTTAAAAAACACACAAAACACCAGCTGTCACCCGTGTCAGCCTCTCTTGCTGATGCTCTGTGAAATCCTGTTGACAAGCCGACCTGGGTTAAGGGTTACATAATGAACAGGCCAGATCAGGTAACACCCAGATTAGCCGGCCTTCCTCCGTGCCCTCCTTCGGGCAAGCTGGCCCCATGCCAGCCCTGGCACCCAGGTCAAAAGGCCTACAGAAAACAGGTTGTGGTCATGCGCTTGAATCTCAAGGAGTGAGGTCAGAGACGATCAAGTTGCTTTCTTGGATTACCGCAATCCTTACGTGAACCTGCTGCCCCCATAAGCAGCACTGCTGCTGCTGCTCCTCCTCCTCCTCCCCCAACAAGGGGGGCTGTTGATTACAGAGGGAGCAGCCCACAGAGCAAGGCAGCCCCCCCCCCCCCGGCAGCCATCGAAAGAAAGTTGGAGCAACCCCACTTCATAAGCAAGCATCCTGAATTGTTTTAGGATGGATTGTCTGGCTCTGAATTTGAGAGGAAAGTGGGAAGAGCTGGCCTTGGTTATTTATTTAAATTGATTAAAGTTGTATTTTTGCATTTTTTAAGAACTTAGGCAAAGAAGGAAGGGTGTGGATCTTAATAAAATACTGATCTATCAGCCAGCTGGACTTTCCAGACTCAGCTGATTTTTTTTTAGAGGTCAGCCAAAGGGCCATGTCTGCTCTCCTCCTCCTCCTCCTCCGCTGAAGAGGGGCACTCTGGAGAGGACCCTGTTCGGACCCCTCTGGTCAAAAGGGAAAGCCCCCCCCTTCTCTGACGCTCCAGAGGGCCCCACAGAGCAAAAGAGCCAGGGCACCATTTCCTCCTCCGTTCCCAGATTCCCCCTGTCAGGAAAGGCCCCGAGGGGATGGTTTTTGGGCTCCTAAGGGATGGGAAGGGAGCGGAGGCAGGCAGTCTCAGGGCCTGGGAGCCCCTACCCAAAAGCCCCGCTCACTGGCCCACGCGTCACACTGCGGAACTCGTGGGAGGGGGTAAGTAAGGAAAGGTTAGGGAGAGATCCCCCACAGAACAGGGCCCCCCAGCAAATTCAGGCTTTTTAAAACTCTTGGCATGCGAAAGACGAACTGCAGCAAATGGATCAGAAGGCAACACGGGCAAACATGCCACTCTGCCAGCCACAAGCAATAGACTCTCAGCATTGCCCCTACACCCGCCCCCCCCCGAGCTTAGCAGGCTCATTAGCCTGTGACACCCAGAGCGCAAAGGGAGAGGAACAGTCCAGTGCCAAGCAAGCCGTCGGCAGGGACACAGGTGGAGAGGGGACAACAACAACAGAACGGCACTGATGGTGGCCTGCTGAGTTCACACGAATGGGTGCCGTCCCTTGCTGACCTTTCAGACATCCAGACTCAGCAAGCTAACCGTGATGCTTACTGTATTAAGTAAACCGAATTAACTCAACTACGGACTGCAGGAGGACAGGCAGGCACCTAAGCAGCAAGACCCCCAAGCCAGCCCATGCAGCTTCTTCCTTCTGGGCGAACTCCAGCGCAGTGTTGCCCACACAGGCAGAAAGTCCCTGTCCTCCTTCAGAAAAAGCCCCCCCCCTTCCGCCCCCATTAACATTCCCACAGGAACCTTTAAAAAGCAGCAGAGGCAGCAGCTTACCTTGTGGCCTGCCAGGTGACGGGGACGGGCGTAGAAAAAGAGTCTCTTTCCCTGATCTGGGCAGGGCTGCCCATTGTGCTGCCTCCCCCCCTCCAGAGGGGCCCCGGGAGCACCGAATCCTGACACCAGCCGTACGTCTTAGCCAGGGGTTGCCGAGTGCCAGCTCCCACTCTACCCCGAACCTGGCTGGCAGAGGACGATGAGATCCACCCTCCGCCATGGGCTGCTGCGCCCTCTCTTCTGGGCGGGAGTTGTACTCAACCCACGAGTCTTACTTCTGAGTAGACCCGGCCTCGGCCTGTACCGTAGGCACACTTCTTCCTGGGGACACTGCTCGTCTCTCTGCTTTCCCCCTCAGACCACCTGGAAACGGTCACCCTGGTTGGCATCATCCTTGGCACCATTGCAGCTATCGGAGTGGCCACAGGGATCGTGATTGTCGTCGCCAAGAAAATGTCGGGCAGGTACTCGTAAGTACTCGGCTGGGCAGGGATCGGGCGGCCGAAGGTCCCCTGGCTCAGCTCTGGAGGCAGGGGAGGGGGAGTGTTCGTCTGAGAAGCAGTTTGGATGATTTCAATGTAAATGTCTCCGTGGGGTGGAAGGCCCAGCTTCTGCCCTCCTTCTCAGGGGTCCCCGTGGCTCTCCTTCCTTCTCAGTCCCCTCAGCCACCTGGGATGAAAACAAGCAGCAACGTGTGCTAGTTTTGTAAGCAGAAATCTCCTCTCTGAAACCCTGGACTCTCTTTCCCCCCATTTATCTTCCCCTTGCAAAGGGGGGCGAAGGCGACTTGGATTTCCTGGGCTGCCATTTGCGAGCCCCACTCCTGCAAGCCACAAGAGGGGCTGGCAGCGGGGTTTCCATGAGCCAACACCTGGGGGGGGAGAGGACTTTCCTTGGGGCGAGAAAGAGCCGAGTTCAGGTCAAGAACTGCAGAACTGAGTGAGGCAGCCAGAAGGTAAAACTCCACCCCTCTCTGTACATCGACCAGCAGATGCAAATCCATTCAGCTTTCTCAAGAAACTGGCTAAGTTCTCAGCTGCCCCCCTCCCAAAGGCTGCCTGCTGGAATAGTGGAAAACCGCCAAAGTTTGCACTGGAATTCAGCCCTGATGACACTAAATCGCATGTGCTAAAAAACCCCCAGTCTTTAGAAGGTTGATTTGAATTGTGGCTTCAAAATCAGAAAGGGAGAAAGGCCTTGAAGGAGGGGGCATTTGCTCAGGGGAGGGAAACCAGGGGTCTGGCGTTCCTCTGGTTCATCTGTGAGGCAGAGGCCACTCTTAGCCACATCAGCTCAGCACGGGACTTTGGGCCGGTCCTTTCCGCCCAGCCAGACCTACCTCGCAGGGCTGTCACAGGAAAAAGAGGAAGGACAAAGTGCTGTATGGGTAATCCTGAGCTCCTGAAAGTAAAACTCTTCCCATTCTTTTCTTCCCTTCTTTTTTCTCCAGGCCCTAAACCTCGCTGAGGAGGGGGAATCCTGCCCTCCTAAAGCCACTTTCTGATTTCAGGGGGAAACGGTGTCACCATCTGGCAGCCTTGGACCTGCTACGCTCTGGGCTTTGATTCAAATGACAAAGAGAAATGTTTCCTGTTATCTCCCACTCTGTTCAAAAACATATTTTTGAAGGCTCTGGTGTGTTCTTCCCACTCGTGTTTCCTCACTCTATTTCCTCATCTGGGAGGGAGACGCCGGTCCCTCCCCTCCCCGAGGATGCAGCTGTCAGCTTTCTTCCTTCCTGTCCTGGTTTGGCTTTGGACTACATTCCTCTCCTCCAGGTCAATGTGAATTCCTCCAGAATGTCATAAATGCAGAACTGCATCCTAAGTGCCGCCTAGTTGGTGGGGATGCAGGATGCACAACGCTGAATTAGAAAAACTAATTTGCAAAATGAAAGAACGAGCATTGGGCAAAACAGGCATTTGGCTGCACCGGCAGCAGACTGGCCTAATGTGAGCACGGCAGGAGCAGATTAAGGCGGCTGGTAACTCTTTTTCTGAGGCTGACAAACTGTGCACGGAAACCTTGACTGGCCCAAACACAGAGGAACGACCAACCGATGGTTCCTCGAGTGACAACCGCGACACCCTTTGAGACCTGGGGGGGGGCTCTAGTGATGGGGATGCTGGACAAGAAGCCAGGAGGGCCAGGATTTGCCCCAACCAAGGAAGCCCCTGTGGGACCCCAGCTGCCCCCCCCCCACAACAGAAGCGAAGGTCCTGGATGAACAGCAGGGAGAGCCTCCCTTCTCCCCCCCCCATTCTTCTTCTTGCCCCTTCCCCCTCCCGAGACAACAGGCCGGTGGGACTGACCTCTCTCCCAGGGTGGGAAGGGGCAACGAACGTTAAAAGGGCAAACAGGCTCCCCTCTGAAAAAGCAGGAAAGGAGACGGGGAGTCCTGCCTTTTCAGGAAGGAAAGCCGGCTGTGTGACTCTGGGCCAGTCCCTCTCTCTGAGCCTGGCCTGCCTCACAGGGTTGTTGTGGTGGTGGGGAAAAGAGGGGGAGGAGGAGGAGGAAGGAGTATCGGTATGCCCTGTGTTATTTATAAGAACAATAAAGGCGAGCAAGAAATAAACATGGATCCGGTCCTTCACCAAAGAAAGGGATACAAACGTATCAAATGCATCAACACAAATGTATCAAATGCAAATCACAAATGTATCAAATGCAAAACACAAATGTATCAAATGCAAAACACAAATGTATCAAATGCAAAACGCAAATGTATCAAATGCAAGTAAATCCAAAGAAAGAGGACCTGAGAGGCAACTCGGAGGGAGGAAAGGAAGGGAGGAAGAGGGAAAAGGAAGGAAGGAAGGAAAGAAGGGGAGGGAGGGAAGCCGCCGGGGAAAGGGGGAGGGGGGCGCCCCTCGCGGGGGGGAGGAGAGTATGGGGCGAACGCTGCCCCCACCGCGAGAGGAGGAGTCCGGTCCCACTCGCCCCACAACAACCCCGCGAGGTGGGCCGGGCCGGGCCGAGCTCAGCGGGCGGAGGAGAGGCGGGGGAGAGGGACTCGGGACACGAGGGGGGGCTCTTTCCCCCCAACCGCCCCCCCCGCTCAGCAGTGGGGGACTCACCGGCGCCGCCCATCCTCGCGGGGCCGGCGTGAGAGGGGGCGGGGCTTCTTCCTGCCCGGCGCCGACGTCACTTCCGGGCCGCCGCGGCCAAGATGGCGACCGGAGGGACCAGCCGGGGCCGGGAGAGCCGCGCAGGTGAGCGCCCCGCCCCCCCCGCGGGCCCTTCCCCCCTCCCCGCGAGGGGCGGCGGGAGGGGGCCGGGAGGGGTGTCCCAGGCAGAGCCCCGCGGGAGGCGAGGGGGCCCCGCTGCGAGGGGCTGGAGGGCTGCGGGAGACCCTCCCCTCCCATCTCCCCTGGCCGGCCCGCCCGGAGGCATCGGGGCGGGGGGAGGGGAGGGAGGGGGCAGCAGGCAGCGGCGGGTGCCCAAGTGCAGCGCAGACCCCGCAGGCGAAGAAACGGAGGGAGGGAGAAGGACGAGGGGGAAAAAGGGCGTCGCTGGCAGCCTCCCCCCCAATGAATGCCTCCCGCTCTGCCCTGATGCCCGTGCCACCTGTCGGAGCCCTTCAAGGCACTGAGCAAGTGATCTTGGAAAAAATAAGGGGGCTAGGGGCTTTTACTATTATGTATTAAAATTACATTTAATTATGTATTTAGATGCATACGGTATGACCATTCTCTGTTTTCCATTCTAGGTTTTATGCAATCACAAGAGCTTCTTTCTGTTTAACATCTCAGAGCACGTCCGGATTTCAGAATGAATCAGGTGAGTTAAAATGCCAGACTCCCAAAATTATTTCTGCCTGCTAGAAATGTAAAGCTGACTGATCTTCACTTGACTGCGTGTAGACGCAAGCTCGTGCTAATCTGCATCTAGATTCACTCCAATGGGCCCTTTTTCAAGGATGCTCTGCAGGCCCTTGAGTTCACTTCCTTCTTCTAAAATGTCAGTTCCAAGAGGTAAAATACATAGATCTTTAAAACAGGTCTGGGTTAGCCTCAGCGCAGACTCTGTCCTGGAATAAAAACAGTTCTTTAGCGACAGGTTCTTAAAGGAGATGGTGATGAGGATCCAGTCCATCCTCTCTTTCTGCGGGGGCCAGTCATGTCCACTGGAGGAAGCTTTCTTCAGCCACTCTGGACAGGAACGCAGCTTTGATTAAGTCTTCTGCTTGCTTGCCTCTTGCGTGGCTATCTTTGCCAGGATCCTGATGAGTGGTGAGGCTGCTTGTTGTGGAAATCCTGGTCTGTGGACACCTCCCCTTCCTCACACACCCCCAGCACATGTCTGGGGGACCAAGGAAAGTCTGCTCTTCTAAGATGCTTCCTCTTTTTGAAAAGTTGTGTATGTTTGTGTGAGTGCTGAGTTACAGCTGATCTGTTCTTCTCCCAGCTCTTTTCTGAGCTGAGGGGGGGTCTACCCTCCCATATGGGTTCACTGGTGCATTAGTTGAAACTGCAGTTTGGGGGTGAGAATGAGGACTCTTTGGGGAGTTTGGGCAGTGCTGGTCTCCCAGGTGATATTTGAACAGATATTGGGGAACCTTTGGATTACTTAAGCTGCTTACGGGAGAAATCTTCCCCTGGAATAATTCAAGAGGGCTGCACCCCCTGCCATTTGCCAGCACTTCAAGGGGTGAGCAACGGCCTGCCCCAAAGGATAGCTGATTGATGTTTCTGCTGGGCCTCTGTGGTAGAAGTCAGGAGGCTTGTCTCTGTGGGGATGGCAGCTCATTTCAAATCAACTTGTGTAACCAGGGTGGCAGTTTCTGACTTACAAAAAAAACCCCTAGGATACGTTTGTGCAGGAAAAAGGGGGGGGGGAAGCAAGTACCATGTTTTTAAAGAGACTCAAGAAAGGGGCGTAAGTGCCATCGTTGGTCCTAATGTGACTTTTTCAACACTGTCATAACTTTGAATGGTTGCTGAGTGAGACAGTTCTCTGCAAGGTACAAATAACCCCCCCCTAGGGTTTGGGCATGGGGAGCCGGGGGGGGCAGGCATTACAACTGTGTGATGCTGCAGGGAAGAAGCCTCCTCTTGCCGTGCAAGGAGGTCATCCATTTTCTTGACAGCCTTCAACCTCCTTTTAACGACCTTCTGCAGAGGAGCAGTGGAAGCCGCTTGCCAGACCTCTGTGCCTCTTCTCACAGCTGACCGGCACCGGGTGGACGCAACAGAGGGTTGTGTGCTGCTTAAAAGAAAAGCTCTCCTCTCCCTGCTGGCAGAGTTAGTCACAGCAGATGTTGTTGCTCAGGTTTGTTCAGGTTGGCCAGTCATGAATCAAAATCCATGGTTGTTTACAAGCCAGCGAGATGCCCCTTTGCTTTGCCTGCTGCTGGGTAATTGCGTGAACTTTCTGAGGAGGCCACACTGTGACTTGGGGCTGGCTTACTCTCCAAAGGGTCCCCAAGGGTGGTGTGCCCCAAGGCCTTCCCCCCAGACACCCGAGCCCATCATTTCTCCCTTTCCACTTTTGCGTCACACTCTCGCCTTCTTCCTTGCTGTTTTTTTCCCTTCGTGCCCTGGGCCTCTCTCTTGGTGTCGCCTCTCTGCTCCCTGTGCCAGTCTCTGCTCTTCAGCCAGCCCCAGAGACCATTCTGTGCAGCTCAGGAACCAGTCGCCTCTGAGGATGCCTGACCACAGAATCCCCTTGGCATCCGGGAGGCAGAACTGCCTTTGCCTTCAAAAGGTTTTCTGTCACTTCACGCCCATCTTTGGTCTCGGAGCATGTTCATTTTGCTGGAGTTAGAAAGTAAATAAGTTCTGTTGTTTAGCATCAACTATATTGTGTTCTTCTTTTCTCCTTTTTCAGTGCCCTTTGTTGACAACTTGTAATGCCAGGTCTGTATACAGTAACCTCCTGCTTCTTCCAAAACACCCCCAAACGCCCCATCTTTTGTTCTTTCTTTGCTTTTAAGTGCTGACTTACAACTCAGCTTTGCTGTTATCCTGGTTTATTCAAAGGAGGCTTGTTAATTTCTTACTCCACAACTTTCTTGGAGGAGGCTTGGAAAACAGTTTAATTAACAAGTAGGCTGCAAGATTCTTAGTTGTTGATTGATTATATTCATTTAAAACATTTTACTCAGCTGAAGATGCTTCGGTGTCATTGCTTGGGACACGAATAGGCAAAGTAGCATCCCTGACCATTCTGGATGGCCCCACAGACCCCTAGATTAAATTACAATAAAAACACGGGTTGAATTCTCACAAAACCATCCAGCCTCTGTGAGATGCAAATATTTCTGGTTGTTGATCCTTGTGTGATGGCCCCGGCTGCTTCAAAACACGCCTGTCTCAAGATGGGTTCAGCCAGTCTCCATCTTTATACACTGTGAGTTTCTGTTACAGAGGCAGGTATTCCCAAAGCCTGTCGGTGGCATTCTCTCCCATCCTTTTCAAAGGAGGCCTCTTTCTCTGAAAATGAGAAATTGCATGCATCTACTATCTCAAAAAGGTCCTTCTTTCTTTCCCTCCTTCCTTCCCTCCTTCCCACAGTATGTGACTAGGGCTCAGAGGAGACTACTTGTTAGCTGACTAATAAACTGACACATCTGAGACAGAATGTGGGATTGGTTTGCCTTTGTTCTTAGAACCCAGGGATTGTGGTTAAGCAGAATATGGGATCCAGCTCATGGGAGCCAACCCTCTAGTGTAGATTGGTTGGTTTGGATTAATTGTAAACTTTATAATCCTTTTGAAATACACTCCTGAAATCTGGCTTTGCTGGTGAATGGGTGACACAATTTATTTAAGGACGCACACATACATGTCTAGAGAGGAAGGTTTGCAGGAGCTGTGGCATTAAATCCAAAGCCCACACTTGCGGTATTCCCGGTGTTTTTAAGAATGTGTGGAGTCTAAATGGCAGGCGGCTTTGTGTGCCAAGGTGGGGAAGGAAGGATGGTGCATGTAAGGGGTGGATCTGCTTAGCTCCATCCCCACCTTTTCTTCCTGCTGACCCTGCTTGCAAGGAATTTATGTTTGAAAGATGATGTTCAAGGATGTGGTTGAGGCAGCGAGGCCCAGAGAGGCAGGAAAAGCAGACTTTTCTCCAAAGCCCCGGAGGGCAGGGCAGGAAGCAACGGGTGGACATCATCAGAGAGAGAGGTCCAACCTAGAACTCAGGAGGAATTTACTGACAGTGGAGGACAGTTAATCAGTGGAACGGGTGAACTTGTGGATGCTCCATCACTGAAGGCCTTCAAGAAGAGACCAGGCAGCCATTTGACTGTGAGGATATAAGGTCAAGGTCCCTGTCGCTGTCCTTTCCCACCATTTACACAGCTTCCCGTGTCACACAGACGTGGGACCGATGGGTGCCTCGCCAGGGTAACCTCTTTGCACCAGCCCCACTTGGTGGGGGCATCTGTTCTCTCCTGCGGAGGAGCCTGTGGAAAGGAAGGTGGCCTTTCTGTTTGGGAACCTGGAGCCAGGGTTACGTGGCCAGGGATTCAAGGGCCAAGATGAAAGGGAGAGGCCTGCGCCAGGCTCTGGGCATCGCGCGGCTGACTGCAGCGTGGGCGGCCTTCTGTCGCTGTCTCCTGCGCCCACCTGGGCCCATTCCTCCTCTTCTCTGTTCCGGTTCCCTCTGTAGAACTCAACCGGGCCTTCAGGATCAGTTGAGACTTTGGCCGACGTCCCCGAGCACATCCTCAAAGGGCTTCCGGAGGAAGTGAGGCTTCTCCCGTCCACTGTGGACAAGACCCGGCTTGGTGGGTGAGCCCAGAACGAGCACTGGGGGGGGGGGCAGAACAGCCCTGGGGGGGAGGTGGGGCTGGGGGGGGGCCAGGCGGGGCTTCTTTCTGCAAGCCGTGGGGTGCCCAGGGTTCGGCTTGGCCCCTCGGATATGAAGCAGCCTCAGAAGTTGGCGGTGGATGTAATTCTTCGTGCGACACGAGTCTTCCATGATTAAAGACCTCACAAATGATTGTCGGCCTGTGTTTAATTAGCTAAAATTTAATCAACCTAGTTTTTGCCCACGTGCCCCGTCTGCTTGATGGGTGGTGGGCCCTGGCGGGAGGATGTGGCCCTCAGAGCAACCCAGGATGCAGCCACCCCAAGAAAGCCTGGGCTGGGGCATCTCACCTAGATTGGGCCCTCTGTGTGTGGTCTTTCACACACACTGACCACTCGTTATTGGGCTCCCTTCTGTGGCTGCATTGGTTTGTGCAGGGTTGTGGCGGTGCCAGGCCCTTCTGCCCGCCTCTTTTCCTCTCTCCTTCCATGAGCCCAAAGCACTCCAGGTCCTGGGCAGTGTGCTCCCTTGTTGTGCACTTTGACAGGGAGGAAAGAGCTTTCAACAACGCTCTGGGGGGGGGTCTAGGCCCCTTCACCATAGCAGCCAGCCAAGGCCGTGGGGGGTGGGCAGGGGGGCTCATTGCTCTTCTTTCTGTCTTTGGTCTTCAGGTGTCTGGGCCGCAAAGCCCATTTTCAGAGGCAGGAAGTTTGGCCCCTTCGTTGGTGACAAGAAGAAAAGGTCCCAAGTGAAAAGCAATGTGTACATGTGGGAGGTAAAGGAACGCGGCCTCTCCCTTTGCTGGGAGGGTCTTGGGGGGGGGAGTGAGGAGGGAGCCCAGGGAAGGGATTGGGGGGTGACCTGGGGGGGCTGCCTGTCTCTCCCCTTCCTTGATCCCAGGCTGAGGCTCTGCCCATCCCATTTTCTTCTCTCCCTCTCCCTGCCCCCCCACCTCCCCCTGCTGTGACACTTGCAGGTCTATTACCCAAATTTGGGGTGGATGTGTGTGGACGCCACAGACCCTGCGAAGGGAAACTGGTTGCGTTATGTGAACTGGGCTCGCTCAGGAAAGGAGCAGAACCTTTTCCCGCTAGAAATCAATCGGACCATTTACTACAAAACGTTAAAGGTAGCGGTGCTTCCACATCTCTCTCCCTCCCCCCCCCCCGCTCTCTCACAGCAGAGTCTGGACCCGAGGGGTGGGCTCTGCTCTTGACTGGGAAAACCGATTCTGCTTCAAAATTCAGTGTGTCTTTTCAGAGGGATGGATCAAAAAAAAATATTAGGGATTTTTCCAAAAAGGATTTCAAGGAGGGCAGCCTTTTGAAGCCTCAGATGTCAAAGCTGCTTCAGATATCACAACATGGCTAGATTGGAGAAAAACTTCTTTTTTTTTTGCAGATACCTTTTGCAGAGTGTCTTCTCTGACCTTTTGCCTAGCTTGGCGGTAGAGGTAGTCCTCTTTACCAGCAGTTCTGTGGCTAAGCCTTTGTTCTACTCCCCTCCATTCTGGGTAGCCGGTTTGAAATTGACAAGGTGACAGTTTTACACCTTTGGCTTTTGCCGGCCTCCTATCCATTCCCCCTGCCTTGGAAGGCTCACTAGCCTTGGGATAATTAACAACTGATGTTTTATTTACATTCCCTGGAGAGGAAGGGACTACAAGAGAGTAAGCAGGCACATTGAGGAATACCCATTAAAAGCAATGTGCTGGAACACTGGCAGCTGTGAGCATGCTATGTAGACAGTCCGCTTATTCCCCATTATGTACCCTGCTTACTCTCTTGTAATCCCTTCTTTCCAATCACTACTCTGCCAGGAGGGAGGGGAAAAAGACAACCCCTACTGGCAGCAATGGCTATCACATGACCGAGGGATCCACGGGGCGTAAGTGCCATCGTTGGTCCTAATGTGACTTTTTCAACACTGTCATAACTTTGAATGGTTGCTGAGTGAGACAGTCGGTAAGCAAGGACTACCTAGGACTTTTTAAAAGGAGAGGCTGCCTTTCATAGGCTCTTCACCGTCAACTTCCTTGGTGTCATTTAGTTCTGAGGCAAGTTCTGCAGTTTGTCACACGGTTTCTAAAGTCACAAGCTTGGTAAAATTGCTGTCTGCAATCATTCCCCGAGGGGCAGAAGCGCTCTCGGTCCCAGGAGGATGGAGGGTGGTTTTCGGAAGCGGACCGATGAGGGCGAGACCTTGGTCTGCTGCTTCACACGTTCCCTGCCGCGCAGCCCCCATTCGGCTGCTTGGTAACTCCCGTCCTGACCAGGTTCAGTTTCTTTTTGTAAATGCTCGTTTGCAGGAGTGTGGGTGCTGCATTCCTCACTGAGTGACTCTGGGTGCCTCACCGTTGTCTATCAACACAATCTAAATATTTATTTTCTTCATGCAAGTGTGGTCCCTAACACATAACTGAGTAGCTTTAGTTAGCGTGCTTGGAATTGGAATCATTTCGATATTTGTCAGAAATATGACTTCGGTGTTAATTGAATGCTTATTGAAAGTGATGTGTGTCCGTTTGTGTGTTTTCAAGGTTGTTTAGGACTTACAAATAAAAACAAACTCCATAGTTGCAGTTAGAAGCTCCGTGAAAGTTTCCAAACGGTTTCACGGCCAAATTTAAGGCACTCTTGAAAACTAAAGAAAGCGACTTCTTTTTTTTCACTCAAGGGGCAGTCACTATTCTTTCATCGCCTTCTCTTCCTTCCGGAGTGTTTTCAGACTGACAGTCTGGAGGGTTATTTTGCTTTATTCTGATTTTGGGGAGCAAAATAGCAGGCTGGGCTTCGATGCTGTTGGGGAAAGGCCCGGAGGGGGCTGACCTTGCTTTGAGAGGTTCCCGCAAGCCTTTCTGTGGCAGGGGCTGGGGTGGGACTTCTGAGCCCGGGAAGGGGCGGCCTTGGTGGAGTGGGGGAGCCAGCACAGGCGGCAGCTGCTCTCCTGGGGACGGAGAGGCGTTAGTCCTTGCGGGGGGGGGGGGCTGGAGAGTTGGTCTCTGCCAGGGTCTGGGCTCCAGCTGTGGCGGGTGGAAAGATGGATCAGGGACTGGTTGCCTTTCCAGAGGAGGCCGATGCCAGGGCAGGGGCTAAGCTCCTTTGCTGGGTTGGGCGGCAAAGAAGCTCCCCCCCTCCTCTTCCTCCTCCTCCTGCTGCTGCTGCTGCTGGGATGACTCAGCTGGGAAACATTTGGGCTTTCCCCCTCCTTGGTGTGCAAGCCTTGTGCTGCGGTCCTCCGTCCAGCAGAGGGGCTGGGTGTAGCCTGCCTCCCTGCTCGGCCTCCCCCTCTCTCTCTCTGTCTCTCTGTCTCCTGCCTTCTCTGACGCTGATGCAGCACAGCCAGCCCGCTTGCTTGCTTGCTTGCTTGCGAGGAAGCCAGGCCCAGCCCCAAACCCCCCCAGGGTTAAAGAGTCCTTCCTGTTTGGCCGGCCAGGCCCTCCTTGGCAGGCAGCCTCTTCCCTTCCCGGCTGGCGGCCCAGAGAGCGGCAGGGGCAGCAGCTGTGCGAGATCCTCCCGGCCAGAGGGCCGCTAGCCTGCTCCCTCCCCCTCCCTGCCTCTGTCCGCCGGTCCTGGGTGGGCGGCTGGCGAACAACCTCCCGTGTGATTGGTGTCCCGCTTTTGTCTCTTTCCTCCTGGCAGCCAATTGAGCCCGGGGATGAGCTCCTGGTCTGGTACAATGGGGAGGAGAACCCGGAGATAGCAGCTGCCCTGGAGGAAGAGAGGGCCAGCCACCGCAGCAAGAGGCACTCCCCCAAGGCCAAGAAAGGTAAGGGCCTCCTCCTCCGCCCCCCCCATCGGCTGCCCTCCTCGGGTGGGCCAGCTGACTAACACTCTCCACTTCCTCCCCTCCCTCCTTCCCTCCCTCCCTCTGCATCTGCCTTCCGCCTGCCTGTTTCTGTCTGTGAGATCAAGAATGGCTCGGCTAGCTCACTCGATGCTGCTTCCTTGTTCAGCCAGCTCTCGGGCTTGGCTGCCCCTGCCTTTGCCCTCCCATCCGCTCTGCCCCTCCCTACACCCCCAGGACGCTGCCCCCCCTTCTCCCGTGGCACCCTTAAAACAAGGAGTGGGATTCCTGAGCGGCTCTTGTAACACCACCTGTGGAGAAGGGAGCTCCAGGCGTTCCCTGGCTGACATTCTCCCCCAGGGCCAGCCCTCCCTCTGGCCCCACTAAGCACCCCAGATTCAGGGTGCAAATGAGATTTCAGTGCCTGGCAAAGTCCAAGGACCAGATTTGCACAGGTTGTGTGGTGAGGATCCCATTTCAGGAGGGTGTTGAAATTTGGGCAGTGAATCATCGGGCTCTCATCCTTGATCCCAGCGGATCTGCTCTCAGCGCTGCCCTCCGGAAAACCCCTCCTGCCTTTCGTCCCAGAGAGAGACGCTTTTCGCAGTGCTGAGAGGCTGCCCTGCCAGGCTGCCGGGCATCCCGAGGGCAAAAATTGCCACGTGTTGATGGGGCAGTGCGAGAAAGGGGGGGCATAATGTTGAGGACACCGTTTAGTTGATTTTGGGGGGGGTGAAATGTCAGGGAAGGCCAAAAGAATGAAACTGCAGCGTGCTGTTTTTGCAAGGACTTTTCTAAAACCTCATAGCAGAGAAATAGAGGTCAACATTCTTAGGATATCCCATTTCTTGTTCATTTTCAAACCTTGTTTTGTGCAGTGGCTGAAATCTCAGGGTTCCTGGGCACTCACCGCCGGTTCTGACCGGGGCTCCAGCACATCGGTATTGCAATGCCAGAGCCAGCGCCAGGCCCTCGTGCAGCGCCCGGGGGGGGGGCTTCTGCGTTCTCCCAGGGCCAGGTGAACCTGGAGGGTCTGCCTTAGTCGCTCAGATAAGCGGAGGGATTTTCTTAGCGATGCTCCAGCCTTTCTAAGGCAGTTTTCAAGCTTCTTTGTAGGAGAAACAAAACAGTCCAGCCGGATAAAAAGACGGTTGACAAGACAGCCTGATTGGGCTGCTCTGTCCTGGGAAGAGAAGCGGCTGAATCTCTCCGCTGCCTCGGTCGCCTCCCGTCGAACCTCGGTTGCCCGGTTGGGCTCCAGCAGAGGCCGGCAGAGGAATGAAGCGGCCGTTTCTGCGAAAGGGAGGAAACAGTTTCTGTTGTTTCTTTGCCTGGACTCAGCTGTGCGCCCAGCCTAACACAGGGCGTCCAGAACAGCCGGCCGGCTCTGACTGACCCCCGGGTCCGTTGTTTTATCCGAGTTGGACGGCCTGAGTTCATCCCTGTTTCCTCACGAGTAAATGGGACTTGTTCTCAGAAGAGTCTTGGCGCACTGGTAACTTAAGAGCAGAGTGCGAGGAAGCACTGCAGAATTGGTGGCCTCAGGAAGGTTTTAAACTGAGTGCGACCTTGATAAAAGCCCCCCGAACCAAAACAGGCAGGAGGGGAGGGGAGCGAGGGTTACACGCAGTGTCGCTTACCAGAGAAAACTGGGCTGGCATCTCCGGCTACTGCCTTCACCCCTCCTGCACACCCGCCGGCCGATGCCAAGGGCTTGTCTTATGAGGAGTGTCTTTTTGGAAGGGATCTTCCAAATCTTCTAAACTGATTATTTGGTGGAATTCTGTTATGTCCGGGGGGGGGGGGAGAGAAGCATTGCCTCTCATTCGCTTTTTTATGCAGGGCTCCCCCCAAGGGGAAGATGGGGAGGCTATTTAGCTCTTCTCATAAATTTGGTTTTCTTCTTTTGAAATCATTTAAAAAAAAACAACGGGCGTTGGAATCCCAGAATGGCACAAATAAAATAAAATAAACCTCCGTTCTGCTGCTCTTCCCTATCTTGAGTTTCCAGTCTGAAGTGAACATTTCCAAACAAGGATAAGGAAATTTCACAGTAATTAGGGCCTTGTCTTCAATAATTCCAGTTTTTCCTACTTTCCCCCTGGAGTGTATCTTTGTACCTTGGGCAGTTTTGGACTACAGCAGGCAGGAACCACAGTTGATATACAGCAATCCCATCTTCTTCTTCATCTTCATCATCACCACCACCACAACTAGTGCTCCTAAGGTTAGCCTGGCCGAGGAGATGCTTGTTGTTGCATCTTTGTGATTGCATCGACACAGTTTGTGCAGCCCGGCTGGAGGTGCTGCAACGAGAAAGAGAGAGGGGGGAGAAAGAGAGAGAGAGAGAGAGAGAGACACCTTCTGCTGCTTGCTCCTTGGACTCTGATCCAGTGGATCTAAAATTACATCTGCTCTCAAGTTGTCGTTCTGGCTGTTTTTAGTAAGCAGAGCAGCTGCTGGCTAAATCGACGACACGGTGAGGGTTAAACCCACATTAAGGTCACCCGCGCTGAGTGCCAGATCGGCTGCTTGAAGGGCCGGGGGGGGGGTGTCCTCCCTTGCAGGTGCTGGGTCCTCCCTCCCACCCTGGTGCAGCTGCTGAGCCTCCCCCTGGCCCTGCACTGTAGAGACTCTGGGGAAGATTCAGCTTGCGCGTTGCGTTGAACCCTGGATGGGCTGCACTGGGCGGCCCTCAGCACAGTCTCTGTGTCCGGGCCCCTGGCAGAGCCGGGCCCGAGGGGGAGCGGCCCCGGACGGTTCCGTGACAGGACCCACCAGGAGCCCCAGGAAGCCTTCCCGATGCTTTGCTCACAGGCCGGAGGAGGGAGAGGGCTGGTGGGAGGTGGGCTTCTGAAAGAGCGCTGGAGGAGAGCCACAGGGCCCCTCAGGGGTTTGGGAGATCAGACCCTCCTGCCCGTGCTCAGCCCTCCCAGAGATGAAGCTCTGAGAAAGCTCTGGTGGAAACTTCAGGGTGGTGGGTGCCTTCTGCGCCGCAGGTCTTGGCAGCTCCGAACGTGGCCACATTTGGTTGCTTGGCGGGGGGGGGGGTGTCCAGAAAGAAGCACTACATTTAAACAATCAAGCTCTTCCTTTTCTTTCCTTCTTAGCGAAGAAAAAAAGCCAGGAGGCCAAGAACAAAGGAAAGAAGGCCAGGGATAGGAAGCGGAAGCCTCCTTTGGAAGGTCCCGACATGAGGGAGACTGAGGAAGGTAGGGGGGGTATCTGCCCTTCCTTCTTCTTCAGGGGCTCTTGGGGGGAGGGCAGCTGAAATGGGGTGGGTGGGTTGCAGAATCGCTCAGCACACAAGCGGGCAGGGTCGGCGTCTGAAGGCTTGCAAAGCACCAAGTCTTTTGCAGTGCGAAAGAAGGGAAAATGCTGCCCAACCAGCCCAGACCCGGCCATGGAATTAGCCCCACAGGATTGAAAGGGGCCACAGAGGGACCTGCTCAGAAGGGGGGTGGTCAGGGCCATTGAGTGCTGTATGGGGGGGAAAGCATGGAATTGGAGCTAGAAGTGTATTTTTGTAATAAATAATTTTATTGAGGGAGTCTTGCTTTTAAAGGAGCAGTCCACCTACAGTAGTGGCAGGCAAAAGCAAAGCCCCCCCCCCACCCCAGACTTTGGGGGGCAGTACAGGGGGAGTGTTCTGGGCTTCTCCCTTTATTGCATTTATTTTGTTGGTTTGTAAAATTATGGGCTTTCCATCTCCGCTCAGCGTAACTTCGTTTGCCTCCATTTCTCAGGCCAGAAGCTGGAGGACGAAGCCCCAACGGTTTCGGCGGTGTTGCCCCTTGACCAGGCCGCCGTCATCCAGGAGATGGTGAATCAAGACGTGCTTCCCAGCCTGCTCATCTCCAGTGTGGCCTGCGAGCCGCCCGCCAGGCCTGAGGACAAGGCGGAGGTCCTCCTGGGTGGAGCAGAAGGTTCAGAGGAGGATCCTGAGCAGCAGCAGGAGGAGGAGGAGGAGGAGGAGGAGGAGGAGCCCATGGAGGAAGAGGATGAGGAAGAGCCTCAAGAGGGGGAGGAGGAGGAAGAGGAAGAGGAGGAAGAGGAGGAGGAGAGCTTAGCAAAAGAAAATCCAGAGGTGGAATCCGGGTGGGGCTGTGGGGACAGGCTGGAGTCTGTGGAGGAGCAGAGCAGCCTCTCCGAGGACTCGGCCGGAAGCTCCCCCAAGAAAAAAGCCCTGGGGAAGGCTCCCAAGGCCAGGGGGGAGCCCAGCACCCAGGAGGCGCCCATGTTCCCCTGCCAGCATTGCGAAAGGAAGTTCACCACCAAGCAGGGCCTGGAGCGCCACGTGCACATCCACATCTCGGCCATCAGCCACGCCTTCAAGTGCCGCTACTGCGGCAAGGCCTTCGGCACGCAGATCAACCGCCGGCGCCACGAGCGGCGCCATGAGGCCGGGCCCAGACGGAAGCTGCTCTTGCCCTTGGCCTCCACCCAGCTGTCTGGGGCCAGCACCGCGGCTGCCGAGGGGGGGGTGCAGGACGAAGCCAAGGCCAGGCAGGAGGCCCCCACCCCAGAGGCCGAGAGAGACACTTCCAAAACGCCACCCCCTCCGCTGCCTTTGGAGGAGAGCAAGGAGCCCAAGGAATTGCACCCATGCCAGTACTGCAGGAAGGTCTTCGGCACCCACACCAACATGCGCAGGCACCAGCGGAGGGTCCACGAGCGGCACCTCATCCCCAAAGGGGTCAGGAGAAAACCGGAGGAGCCCCAGGCTCCCGTGGGCCCGGCCCAACAGGCCCCCAGCACGTACCTGGCCAGCACAGACCTGGAGGAGGGGGAGGGGGAGGCTGACGACCTCATGGACGTCTCCAGTAACATCTCGGAGAATCTCAACTACTACATCGACGGCAAGATCCCATCCAACAGCAGCACCAGCAACTGTGAGGTGATCGAGGTGGAGCCTGGCGCCGCCGAAGTCTACGGCATCAACTGCCTGCTGAGTCCCGTCACGGTAGACATCTCCCCCAATGTCAAGGCAGTGCCGGTGCACCTGGTGGAGGAGTCGAAGGAGCCCCCTGTTGGCGGGACCCTTGAGGCCAAAAAGAGGAGGACGGCGAGCCCCCCACTGCTGGCCAAGGTAAAGACCGAAATGGATCCGGAGCCCATCACCTCGCTGTGTTCCTTGACGATTCCCCTCGCCATATCGACCGTGGAGAGCCTGCCCTTCCCCAGAGAGAAAAGCGTGTATTTATCCTCCAAGCTGAAGCAGCTTCTTCAGACACAGGACAACAATAAGGTGGTCCCCTCCCCACCATTGCCGGTGGGGGAGATCCCAAAGCTGGCACTCCCCGTGGCCTCCTCCCCTCTGCTCCCGGCCACCTCAAGCAGGTTCAAGCGGCGCACCAGTTCCCCACAGCACAGTCCGGGCCTTCGAGAACCTGGCAAAGCCGGCAAAGCCAAGCCTGCTTGGAATGAGACGGCCCTGGGTGCGAAGGCTCCCAAGGTGGAGAGACGGAGCAACTCCCCCGCGTGGAGTCTGCCTGGGAGAGAAGAAAGGGAAGCACTGAGTCCAGAAGAGTACAAGGCCTCCAGGGAGTGGGCGCCGAGCCCCCCCTTTGGGAATGTGTGCAACCAGCAGCCCTTGGACCTGTCCAGCAGTGTGAAGCAGCGGTCGAACGGGAAGAGCCGGGCCCAGGCGCCCTGGGAATCCGTGCTGGACCTCAGCGTGCACAAGAAGCCATGCAGCGATGGCGAAGGCAAGGAGGCGACTCCACCAGCAGGGGGCGCCATTAAGAAGAAGCCCACCACTTCCATGTTGCAGAAGGTCCTGCTCAATGAATACAATGGGACGGATTTGGGGCCCGAAAACCCCTCCCCGGACATGAGCCCCAGGCCGAATGCCTGCAAGCCAGCCGAAACCCCACAACCGCAGCCTGGCCCGGCTCCCCCGGCCCCTGGGGCAGAGTTGGGCTGCTCTGGCCTCACTGTCACCGAGGTGCCTTTGCCGCCACCCTCGTCCTGCCCAGAGCCATCGGCCTCTCCCTCCCATCTTCCGTGCCCTCCCATGCTCCAGGCCCCCACGCCTCCCCCTACTCTCCTTCCCACTGCTCCTTTGCCCCTCCTGGAAGACCCTGGTAGCACCCCACCAAGCTCCTGCCCCTCTCCCCTGTCCAACGCCACAGCTCACTCCCCGCTGCCCATTCTTTCCCCAACCGTCTCGGCCTCCCCCCTTCATTCTGTGGAGCCCCTTGACTGCGCTTCCCCCGGGCCACCCACTCTATCTTCGTCCTCCTCCCCCTCCCCCTCTTCCTCCTCCTCCTCCTCCTCTTCCTCCTCTTTCTCTTCCGCATCCCCGTCCTCTCCTTCCCCGCCTCCCCTCTCAGTGGTCTCTTCCATCCTCTCTCCTGGCGACCAGCTGGAGAATCCAGGCCCCCTTGTGACTTTCAAGCAAGAAGAGGGAGAGGCCGGGGGTCAGAGGCTGAGGGAGGACCCCCACCCCTGTAGCGCAGCAGAGGCCGCCCAGGAAACCTTCAGCAAGAGCTTTGTGTGCAACGTCTGCCAGGCCCCCTTCCTCGCTATCAAGGACCTTGCCCGGCATCTGTCCGTCCACGCTGGGGACTGGCCCTTCAAGTGCGAATTCTGCATCCAGCTCTTCAGGGAGAAGGCAGCCTTGTCAGAGCACCGCTTCCTGCTCCACGGGGTGGGGAACATCTTCGCCTGCTCCGTCTGCAAGAAGGAATTTGCTTTCCTGTGCAACCTCCAGCAGCACCAGCGAGACCTGCACCCCGACAAAGAATGCAGCCACCACCAGTTCGAGAGCGGGACTCTGCGCCCGCAGAATTTCACCGATCCCAGCAAAGCCAGCGCAGAGGAGATGCAGAGCCTGCCCAGCACTGCCCTGCAGCCCTCCAAGGAGGAGGAGGAGGAGGAGGAGGAGCTAAACGACTCCTCCGAAGAGCTCTACACTACCATCAAAATCATGGCGGCCGGGGTCAAGCCGAAGGACCCCGACGTCCGCATGGGCCTCAACCAGCACTACCCCAGCTTCAAGCCCCCCCCATTCCAGTACCATCACCGGAACCCCAATGGCATAGGAGCCACGGCCACAAATTTCACCACCCACAACATCCCCCAGACCTTCTCCACCGCCATCCGTTGCACCAAGTGCGGGAAGAGCGTGGACAACATGCCCGAACTGCACAAGCACATCTTGGCTTGCGCATCTGCCAGCGACAAAAAGCGGTACACCCCAAAAAAGAACCCCGTGCCCCTAAAGCAGGCCGTGCGCCCTAAAAACGGGGTGGTCTTGCCCAGCCCGGCTGGCAGCGCCTTCCGGCGCGTGGGCCAGCCCAAGAAGCTCGACTTCAGCCTGGAGGCCAGCCGGGCAGCCTCCAACAAGCTGAAGCTCAGTGCCCTGAAGAAGAAGCAGCAGCTGGTCCAGAGGGCCATTCTGCAGAAGAAGAAGTCGCAGCAACAGCAGCAGCAGCGGGCGGAGCTCAAGACCGGTGGCCCAGAGCCCAGCACCCACATCTGCCCCTTCTGTGGCCGGGAATTCACGTACATCGGGAGCCTGAACAAGCACGCCTCCTACAGTTGCCCCCGCAAGCGCCATTCCTCCTCCAAGGAGAAGAAGAAGAAGGCCAAGACGAAAGTGGGGGGCTCGTCTCCTGGCAGCAGCAAGAGCAGCACCAACCCCCGTCGGCGAACAGCCGACGCCGAGATCAAGATGCAGGGCGCTGCTACTCAGCTGGGCAAGACTCGCACCCGCAGCTCGGGGCCCACAGCTGCCCAGATGCCCTCCGCCTCCTTCAAGCTGAAGCAGGGTGCCAAGTTCCCCAAAAGGGGCCACCCTCCGGCCGCGGCCGTGAGAGTGGGCAAGGGGGCTCCGCCAGAGGGGAAGCGGAGCAAGGGCGCCGCCAGGAGCGGGGGGGCCCCCGGACTGCTGGGCAAAGCCTCAGGCAAGCTGCACATCCGCATCCAGCGTGGGAAGGCAGCCCTGACCAGCCAGAGGAAGACTGCTGGCCGGTTCAGTGCCAAGTCGAGGGAGAGGGTGGGGGGCCCCGTCACCCGGAGCCTACAGCAGCAGCAGGCGATGTCTGCGGAGGCCACGGAGAGCAAGAGGGAGGAGAGCGCTGCCCGGCCGGAGCTGAAGGACACCAGGTGAGCTCTTCCAGTGGAGCTCCAGACGGGCCAGATGCTCCTCCAGTCTCAGGAGGGGGAAGGTGGGTTCCACCTTGACTGGAGCAGGAGGGGAGCACCAGAAAGGCCCCTGGAGATGAGAGGGGCTGGGAGGTGGGCACAGTCGGGGAGGGGCCCTTTGGCCAGTGAGGCCCTCAGGGCAGATCCCTCTCAGTGGGGAGAGCGACCTCCCTGCACCGGGTCTCACACACAGCCCGGCTGGGGTTCCCCTGGTTGGGGGGCTTCACCCAGTTTGCGTTGAAGTGGCCTGGTTCACAAACAATGCCAGAGCCAGATTACCGCGATGGCTGGTCTGGAGACCTGGCTGATAAATGTAAAAGAGGCCATGCCAAGCATCGTGCCACCTACCACCTTGGTCTTTTCTTGGTCATCACCCGCGGCTGCTTGTTTGTCCCTGGCCTTCTGCCCTGTTGTGCCTGAGGCCTTCTCGCCATTGTGGGTCCTTGGCTGACGCAGACCCCTGCAAATAGCAGCCTTAAAAAGCTTGTTTCTCGGCCTGGAGGTGCCCATCCTCAGTGGGTTCCCGTTCTCGTTAATGCTGGACTTGGCACGAGCCGTCCGTGGCTCTCCTGATCCAAGCAGGGCATCGTCCGACTGCCAAACGGGGGGGAGAGGAGGGGAGAAAGCTTGTTCTCATCCATCGTCTCTCTTTGCTTCCCCCCTTTTTCCACATCACGGCTTTTGCTTTCTCCCCTGCAGGAGCCTCCTTTGAGAAATCGAACCCCCCAAACGTGTAAATGAGACTTTCCTGGTCAGGGGGTCGGCCTGCCTGATGTCCGGCACTGCAGCAGCAGTTGGAGAGCGGAGGCTCCGGCCTCCCAGAGGCAGAAGCGAGGATGCAGTGGGTGGTTGCTGATGGGTTCGCCCCAGAGCCGGCCTCGGTTGCCCCCCCACCGAACCAAGCCGAGCGATTCTTAGCTACAGGGACAAGACACCCCCCCCCCAGGCATGCGGTTGCTCCTCTCCTCGCCCCCCCCCCCGGCAGCCCTGGGAATTTTACAAAGGACTTGGTCAAGCTCTTCGGGAGCAAATTCAACCCTTGGGCTTCTTGCTTGGGCACCTGGCTTTTCCTGGCGCAGTAAGGAGGGAAGCAGATAAAAACTCAGCCGGGGGGGGGGGCCTTGCCAAACCTGCTGGGAGCAACACTCATCAGACGGCCCCCAGCGAGCATCAGGGATGACAAACTGTTCACACGGCACCTAAAGTAAGTTTTGGTCACCCAGTCTGCGAAGGCCTTTGTGTCACACCAGCCAGTACAAAAAGACCGCCAGGGACCGTGTTCCCTCTTCTCCTCAGTGTCTCCGCCGCCTCTTCCCCACCGGGTTTGGTGCCAGTCGCTGCTTTTCACCCCCTTGGGAGAGCAGGAGGGACGTCGGTTTCCCTATCCCAAATTCCCCTGGGCTGGACGAGACGTGCGCAGTTTGTGGTGAATGACCAGCTCCTCGCAAAAGATGGTGCATCCCCCAAGAGACGCCCTACATCGGGGGGGGGGGCTGGCAGCAGAGGGGGCAAGAGCCCCCCCTTTCCCCTTGTTGTAAAGCAAAACTGAATCTCCCCCACCTCTTTTTCCAGAGAGGCAGCGCCTTTTTCTCCAACCTCGCCTTTCCATTTGGGTGAACAGCAGTTGCTTCATTTGACTCCCCCCCCCATTTTTCAAAACTATTTGTCCTTGATTTAAAAAAGAAAAGTGATCTACCTCTTAAAATTTGAAGTTTTGATATTGTTTTGGTGACTTCATGCCTCTTGCTATCATTCCCTTTTATCTGTCTTTTGGTTGCGTTTCTTTTTCTTGACTTATGGGGGACATCAACACCCAACAGTTGTATAAAGCATTCGTAGCAACTTTGGAAAGGGGGATAAAATATTTAAAATTATTTAAATTGTTTTTGACACTTCAGTTGTATTACATGTGATTTACATTTTACATTTGTTTATGTGGGAGAGAGGAGAGGATCTTTCATCTGAAGATGGTATTAAAGTTTGCTGTTCTGTAGTTCATTTACCCCCCCCCCCTCTTTTTTTTTTTGTTGGAGAGTGATGCAAAGACTATTCTATTAAAACATTAAAATTTCCAATTTGCCATACAAAACAAAAAGTTTGTCATTGTTTTGGGACGTCGCAGGATACGAATTGGCAGCCAGCCAGCTGCCCACTGAAAAGAGGAGGGTCAGGGTCAGCCATGCAGCCCCTCACATTCAGCAGGGAAACGGGCTCCCCACTCCTTCGGTATCCTGGAGCTCCAGTAAGAAGGCTCGCGGAGGGAAGAACCGACTCAACTTCCATTCCAGACAGCCAGCTGACGAGGCTCTTCTTCCTCAAGACAGATCTCACTTCGGTGCAAGATGGTTCCTCTGCAGAAACTGTGGGGGGGGGGGGATTTCCCCTTCTCTTCCTCACAGGCTGGTTCGGCCTCGGAGGCAGGAGAGCTGAACCTGGAAGCCTCGCAGTGAACTTGCAGTTGTGCTGATCCCAACGGAGGGCAAGGCTGGAAAAGAGGCACACACAGATTTAGTCTGCGGGGAGATCTGGAAACCCGCAGGAGAACATCTGGACGCCTGTAAGTTCAGACTTGTATCAGGAGAACTGTGCTTTCCATCCATTTCTCCCGGCTCTGCTCAGATCTCCCCTTCCAAACCAGACACAGACAACGATCAGGAGAGGCTGAACCTGGCAAGGAAAGAGAAGGCGTCAGAGGGGCTGACCTGGGGAGGGGTAGAAAAAATTGCACTTTTCGTGTAGCCAAAGGGGCGTCACAATGACCTAAAGGCCCCATCATCATCACCATCATATCAGGGATCAGGAGGGGTAGTTTTTTTGGGGGGGGGCAGATTCCGGGTAGATGCTTCTGAAGAAGACGTTCTCTAAAGCGGAGACCGGACAGCCTTTCCCTGCTTTGATTTGGGGCTTCTGCCTCGAGGGAAGGCTGGATTTCGGGGGGGGGGGTCTCAACTCCTTTGGTCCAATGATTCCAGGCTTGACTTTGCAGATGGATATGCCCGCAACATTTGGCCGCTTCCACATCAGCAGCGGAAGGTCCACCTGTGTTTACTAGTAAAAAATTGTCTTTTCCCTGGAATCCAGGATACTGAGCTCCCACCAGCTACTAGACCCGTAGACACCAGCTAGCCAACTAGCCCTACCCTTTAAGTGTTCTCTCTCCCCTCCGGTTTAAGAGGGGGGTGGATGGGGGATTAAAGGAGGCAAGGGGGGCAGAGACAGGCCTCTGCATCAGGGCATGACCCCAGTCTTGGAGGGCCGGGGACCACTTCCCCTCCCCTCCTGTTTTCAGGAGTGTGTTTTGCTCAACCAGCCTGGGAGGAGAGACTGCAGGAGGGCGACGTCAGCAGTGATGCGCCTTAGCCCCTTCCCTCTTTCAGCCCAGGGAGGGAGGGAGGACAGCAGATTGCCAGAGTGTAGACGAGACTGGACCACTGGAGGAGGAGGAGGATGCTGGTGCCCGGCGAGGGGATCAGCTGCAAAGCTTGAAAGGGGGACCGACTGAGAGGACCAGAGAGATGCATTAGGTAAGCGGGGGCCGGAGAGGGGAGGAGGAGGAGGCTTCCCCCCCTCTTTATATCAGGCTCCATCCCAAACGGTCAGACACCATCACCATCCTGATGAGCACCATTCGGTCTCAGCAAGGATTCCCAAAAACAGTTCCTGGGAACCAGACCCAGGAGGACGCTGACCGGCTTCCTGATACTGTTGGATGGGGAGGGGGGATTGACTGGTTTGCTGGCTCTGCCAGAGGAGCCCTGGAGGGGTGCAAAAGCCAAAGAGGGGAAGGGTCCTGCAAGGTTTCTTCACGAGAGAAGAGTTGGTCTCCCGAAGGGGGGGGGGAATCACCAAGTTTTCCCAGGAAGGAAAAAAGAGTTTGACTGGGTCATCTGGGAGCTTCTGAAATTGACTCCAGCGCTGAGGAAGACACGTCTCTGGGGCTTGGGAGGTCTCTCACTATCAGGTCAGAGATGAACTTGCCTCCCAGGGTGGTTGATCTCTGGCCCACTTGCTTCCCCAGAGAGGAGGAGGAGGGAACACCTGGCCCTCGGAAGAGTCCCCACAACTAAGCTGGGGGACCTGCCCAAGCCATGGAGGCCTCGTCTGTGGACACCACCAGTCCGGTCACCTTCTCACAAGTCTTTGGTCATCAGTGTCAACTTCTGGAGGCAGGTAAGAGGAGTGGGGGTGGGGTGGGGGGTCTCTTCTGCTGCAAAGCCCTGGAAAAGGAATGAGCTCTCCGAGGGGAGCATTGCGGAAGTCCCAGGTTTGGGGGAAATGCTGGTTCAGAGGTGGAGGTGGGCCAACCAAAACATTCTCCACGAAAACAGGGCAGAGATGAATGACACCCACAGACACTCTTGTCGGTCTGCCTTGTTGTGCAGGATCTCACACTGAGGCGTCTTCAAAATCAGGGTGGCCACTTGATGCAAGAACTGCGACTTCACCCGTGCAACTGCTCAGAGATGGGGACTTGTTTTGTTTAAGGAAGGCTGGTTGTGTTACGAGGGACCCAGAGCAGATCTGAGCCAAAAGGAGTGGTGGCTGCTGCTGCTGCTGTTGTTGTTGTTGTAGCTGTTGTTCAAGCTCCTTTTCTGTCCTTGCCGAGGGCCCTGAACCAGCTAGGAGATTTCTGGGTTCTGTCCTAGGTGGGAAGGATGTTGTGGATCATCCGTCCCATACTGCTGGGCAGGTAGGCTGATGGGAACTGAAGTCTGACAGACTGGAGGATCCAGGCCTATCATGTTGCTGGTTCAAGTCCCTCCCAGCTCACCTCCTCCTAGTCTCTCCAGAGGGGACGACGGGCTCAGTTTCCCCAGGGGGAAGCCAGGGAGGCCAGAGAGGAACCCGGCAACGGCACGGCTCCCTCGTCCTGGCCCCAGAGAAAGAGCCAAAGGGTGCTCAGGCACAGCAGAGGCTTGCTTTTTTTTTCTTTTCTTTTTCCCCTTATGCTGTTTTATTTTTGGGAGGGCAACTGTGAGTTGGCGGAACAGAAAGCTGCCAGCCCGGGGGGCACGTGCCGATTCAGAACAGGCCTGGGTGGAGCTGGCTGCTTTCCTGACTGCCTTGCTGAAACTCAGCCCCTCGGTCTCCCTGGCTGGAAGAGTCGGTGGGGCCGGCCGAGAAGATGCCATGCGGGGGTCAGCCAGGGTGTGGCTGGCCTGGAAGAGGGAGCGAGTTGGGTCAGAAGGCGATTGCTAGAAGGGCCCTTTGCTGCCCCTGGTCTTTCATGGCCGAAAGCAGATGGCTTGCAGAAAAAGGGTTTCCCGGGACCCTGTGCTGTTATTTGAAAAAACAGAATTAGTGGGCTTGTTTCAGGACTTAGACAAAACCTCACTTTTCCCTGGCTTTGTTTAAAAGTGGTCTGCCTTGTCTTCAGCTACATCATGACACAAATCGTCAGCAATTAAAAATACTTGACAATGAACTTTTTTTTAACCAGCATAGATTCCTTAAATGAATAAGTGTTTCTTTTGCTAATACAAGCTATTAGAAAAATCCTTTGCCTTCCTTCCTGTTCCCGTGGTGGGCAAAGGTACCTGAGGAAGGTTTCAGCAGAAGGCCAGGGCAGGCTTGGATTCGTTCGTGCAGAACAGGCAAAGGAGAGCCGGTGTTTGCGTTAACTCACCGATCGCTGCAGCCACAAAGTCTTGACTACCTGACTCCTGCCTTTTCCTATAAAGATCAAGGCGTCCTGCTTTGCAGTCTTGCAGAGATATACTTAGAACGTAGAGTAATAGGATTGGATATACTTGCAGTCAAAAGAACCAGCCAGGATCAGAGGGAAAGATCCTCGGGTGCACTTGAAGGAAAAACAGAGACTTGCTGTTGGCCAAACCACTCTGGACACTCCCTTTCAAAAGAGACTCTGGACACTCCCTTTCAAAAACTGACCGGTGGGGCTGGCGGTGAAGCGCAGGTCAGAACCACGTACAGCTCTTCTGCCATGATTTATCTCCCGGATACGGATAAGGTCTGGGACGTGGCTTTTTCCAGGGGGGCAGGTGAGGGGCCAGAGAGCACCAGGAGGGGGAGACAGAGGCTGCTTGGAAGAAGCCCTGTTCCCTTCTGGCCTTACAAAGGAAAAAGTAATTCTGGTTTGAAGAAACAACCTGTCCACCTGCCAGGTGAATTCTTGTTTTTTTCTGAATTCAAGTGGTGACCAGAAATGCATTTCCTCTCTGCAGCAAGACAGCTGTTAAAGTTGGCCCTTTACTCCAAAGGGCCAGTTCTCCCTCATTTACACGGGAGGCAGGCAAGATCCTTTGCCAAGGGGCTCTTCTTCCTGTTTTAAGGAGGAAAGTTCTCCAGTGGTCAAGGACGTGAAGATCTGAAGCTGTCACCTGCCTTCCGTGCTCTTTCCCTTGGATAGGACCATTAAGCCTTCTGAGCCCCCTTGGCAGAGGGGTTAGGATTAGGGTGCGCAATATGGACGGTTCTGCTGGGTTCCCTTCCCCCAGCTGCCGCTCGCTGGACATGACCCTCTTCCCCTCCTCCCTCCCTCCCTCCCTCCCTTCCTTCCTTCCTTCCTTCCTTCCTTCTCAGCCCTGCAGTCGCTCCACACACTGAATGACCAGATCTCGGACTTCCTCGTCCACAAGGCCCGGGCGCTGGAGGAGGACGAGCAGCGGGCCTTCCTGCCTGGCGAGAGCAGCACTCTGCGACGGTCCATGTCCCTCATGACCCAGCTCCTCATGGACGCCCAGGTAAGCCCCCTCGCCTCCGCGGGACTGGTGGATCTCATAAGAGGCTCCCCCCTCCCCCCAGCATCCGGGGTTCACTCACCCTGCCAAGTCCAGGTCTCTCCGAATAAGCCACAATCAGCTCACTTCTCACAACACGCTAAACCATGGTTTTGAAACCAGACTGGCTGGTTCACACACGGCTGAGCGGAAGCCAAGCACAGCCCCTGATGGCCCAGTCCGAAGGGCGCCATAGGCCGCCCCTCCTTTCGGTTCGGGAAATCCTTTGCTGTGGGCGTTGATCACTAGCTGTGCAAATACACACACACACACACACATGGGGGGGGCTTAGGTGTTGTTCCCCCAGAGCTCCAGGACCTTTTCAGCCCCCAACCAGCCCCTCCTGGCAGCTGTTCTTCTCTCCCCCTTGGTTTTAGCAGGTGCTCAGGTGGGACCAGGTGATCTGCTTCCAGTCTACATCCATTGCCTGCTCTAAACCGGGGCAGGATTGGGGTGGAGTGGGGCGGTGGAGGCTCACAGGAAGATCCAAGCTGCCTTCTTTCTACTGCTTTCGATGCAGCAAGTGCCGGTGGGAGGCCCTTCTCTGCACAGGCCACCAAGCTGGGTTCCTGGACGGGGATGCTGGTCTTGGGAAGCGAGGTTGATCCTGCAGGAACCCTCCGATTGTTGCAGTTTAACTTTGGCATGGTTTGTAGTTTTGTTCAGCCCTGGTTGGCCCATGTGTTGCTGGAAAGGAGGAGGAGAGCGATCTGTTTTCTTGGCCTACAAGCATGGGGCGTTGTAAGCTCTAACCATTAGCTTCGGAAGGGAAGGGAAGCAGCAGTTTCCCGGGGAAGAGATCTCCTTTTCTTCGCTCTTCCTCAGCTGAAAGAAACAAAAACAGGATCACCCGGTGTCCCTCTGTACTGGCTGAGATGTTTCCAAATTTGTCTCCTGGGATTTGAGGACCACAGGCTCTTCTTTTCAAAGTGGGGCCTACCTGCACAGGGATCGTCCATTTGGCTTGATTTGTTCTACCCCTGAATATTTTTTGTCTGGAGCGCAGAAGGAGAAAATACAATCTGGGAATGTGTTATGCTAGGGAGATTTTTCTGAAGATGCCTGAAAACATAAAATGTTCTGGGTTTGAAGCCACGAGGTTAATAAACATCAGCACGTTGCCACAACTAGTGAATTACAGGCCTTAATTTTCACAGTTGGCCATCAGGATCTAATTAAGGCCACTAGAATAAATCACAGTGTTTGGAGAGAGATTACCTTGATTAATTTGTCAGAGACATTTGCCACCTTAATTAAAAAAAAAAAGAGGGAATATCAAGTTCTGTAATTTTTCAGATAGAAAAGACTCAGTAAGGATAGTGATGTCTTTAGTTCCAGTGAAATTTTCTGACGGTTTGGTTTCTTTTTAATAAAGGATGCAAAGAAAATTGCGGCACCAAAGGGGGTGATTTATCTGTGAATTTGGGGGGGGGGTAAATCCTTGCAGGGAAAGGTCTGTTGGGCTGCAGGTCCCACAGCTTCCTTGAAAGTAGCTGCCTGGAGTAGAATAGGATTTCTTTCCAGTGGCTTTTTTGGTGGACACCCTGGAGGGAAATCCGGGACTCGGATGCCTTGAGAGAGCGGGGCTGGTTTCTGGGTAGGTTTACGTAAGATATTGTGCCGAAATATACTTCTGTGTTTTTAATCATTCAGTTTAATGCAAAAAAATAAATTGTAACAAAAGCTGAAATTTCAATGAAATCCTCAGAGATGAGTTTAAAAGACCCACTTCAGCTAGTCCAGCATTCTAAAAATTATATGTATACAGTGTTTGTACAGTATACCGTATGTGTGTGTGTAAGCATGCATGTGTGTGTGTGTGTTAAAAATATCTGCACAGCAATGCAAATATTTATAAAAGCCAAGTACATACATGCATTATGGCATACATTAGAAGGATATATTTGCATAACTGGGATGGATTTGCCAAAAAATTGTAACCCAAATAGACATAGGTTGACATTGTACTTAAAAATGAGTTTCTAAAAATTTTTAAATGGCTCTTGAATCCTTTTTTTCAAAATTGCCACCCGTGGGGGGGTTTCCCACTGAGCAAGTAGTCGAAACAAAGGCAGAGGGATGTGGGTGGCACCCGTTTCTTTGACCCAAAGGGTTAGCGGATGGGCAGCCACACTGCTACTGGGTGAGGGATCCAGCTGGTCTGCAGGCCTCACCTTGAGATCCAGCCTCATGGATGCTCCTTTTCCACTCCTTGCCAGTGTCTGCCTGAGCTTCTGGAGAACTCAGTCTGGAGCCACTGTGGGGGCGGCTCGGTCTGACGGAAAGGAGGCTGTCCTCCTGCAGAGGAGAACCCACCTGCCCTGAGGATCCGCAGCCTCTTCCCCACCTTTAAAAACAGAGCCCGTTGCTTCTGTGGGCACAAGAGAGAGCAGGAAGGCTTCACCACAGCCCTGCCCGGGTTGGGCTTTCCGGAAAGGGCCCTGTCTCTGGCTGGAGAGGACGGGGCGTCTGTCTTGTTATTCCTGCACCAGCCACATTTCCCACCTCACGTCCCCTGGCCACCCGTGGGGTGTGTGTATGTGTGTGTGTGTGTGTGTGATGTTTATGTTCCTTTTCTTTGCTTTCCATTGTCCTAGGCACAGGAAAGTAGGTGTCCTCCGGGCAAGGGCAGATTTTAAAATTTTACTTGTACACCATAATGTGAACGATGATGATGATGATGATGATGATGATGATGACTAGTTCAAAAGCCCAGAAAAAGGAAAACAAGGGGGGAGGGAAATCTATCCTGTGTTGTCATAACAACAAATAATGATTTGAAATGCAAATTCGGCCTCTTCAGGCTGTGTTTCCGAGATGACAGAGCAGTAAAAAAAAAATGTGTAGCGGAGGCTGGGCCTCTGAAAATGGGCACCGAGGCTGAAGGGAGCTGAAGCTTTATTATTTATTCCGTGTGGGAATTATGGCCCCTTGAGGAAAACGGATCCAGCTGGTGCTGGACAGAGCAGTGGATGCTCTGAAACCTGCCTCAGGAGGGCCCAGGTGGAGGCCGTCCAAAGCAGAGGGGATCCCGTATTGCCTGCCCCAAGGGTGGATCTTTGTCAGAGGCCAAGAACAGCCCTGAAACTTCTCTGGGGGAAACGTGTCTGGGGGGGGGGTTTACTCGGACCGCTCTCCATGGTCCTGGAACCAGCGGGGGAATTTCCGAGGCTGGGGGCTACGTCTCTCCTACACACCTGCTCTGCTCCCGGTGGCTGCCCCTCCTTCGCCCCCGCCCCCCCCCAGGCCTGAGCAGGCCCCTGGCGCTGGGCTTCTGCGCTCGGAGGGAGCGCCTGTTTCTCCTCTTCGGCCCTTTCGCGTTCCTTTGGTGCCGCTTCTCAGGCAGCCCTCAAGGGCGATAGTTGTGGGAGGAGTCGAGCCCTGAGGTCCGTGTGGATTCAGTCCTGACACCCCCCAGTCTGAGACGGTATAGCTCAGGGGATGACTCGTGGACTTCAACTCCCAGAATTCCTCAGCCAGCGTGGGGGAAACTATGGCCCCTTCATGACTCATGGACTTCAACTCCCAGAATTCCTAAGCCAGCCTGGCCCAGCTTGGAAACCTCTCCCTTTCCCCTCAGCATGGCTGGCTCAGGAATTCTGGGAGTTGAAGTCCACCAGTCATAAAAGAGCCAAGGTTCCCCACCCCTGGTATAGGTCCTCCTGCTTGAGCAGTGGGCTGGACTAGAAGACCTCCAAGGTCCCTTCCAGATATATTTGTATATCTCTGAAATATAAATATGATACTGAAAATATTTTAGGTGAAGAAAAACAAAAAACGGCCTGTTTTGATTCTATGTCTTTTGTTTTTCTTCACCTAAAATATGTTCATTGCTATCGTCTGTACAGCCAGTAAATTGCAGCGAGGCAACCTGGGCCCTTTGTACCAAAGACGTGGCCCATGAGGAAAAAAAGGAAGGGAGGGAGGAGGAAGGCTAAAGGACTCTGCAAAGATGGCCTTCCATGAGAACGGACAGCTTCGGTGCCAGAATCAAAACAGGCCGTTTGTCCACTGAAGCCTCCCAAGCAGGAGAGAAGGCCGGGCCCCCCATCACATGCCAACCTTTTGGGGGGTGGGTAGGCTTTATTAAGCAGGGATGATGTATTGGCGAGAAAGTCCTGTTACAAACAAACAGTATCATATTTATATTTCAGAGATATACAAATATTTGCAAACCACACGGTCTAAATTATCAGAGAGCTCAAGAGCCTGTTTTAATCCCGATTAATTTAATTCCAATAAATAAATCCCTATTTAATCCCATAAATAAATAAATTGATTAAAAAGGTTTTATTGTAACCAAGCACGCTGTAAAACTTGTGGTGGGCTTAGTTTAGGAGTGGTTTACTTGCATCATGGTTTACATTAAGTCCTCTGTGATTCTGAGTTTTTGTTTCTTTTCTGTTGCTGGAGACCAGAAAAAAAATGGTTTTCTTATCTATTTTTGATTCTTTTAATTATTAAAGGTGCCGGTATAAGCAGAGGGGGCAGAGGGGAGCCAACCTTGCTTCTTGGTACACTTAGAGAATTGTCAATAGAATTGAAGGGAGGCGGGATGGATGTTGGGGGGGGGGAACACTTTGATCTATTTGTCTACATTACAGAAATCTTCCTATTAGCTGACAGGGGAGGGGGGACTTCTTAGCAGCTCCATTTGTGCGGCCCAACTCCTGCGCCCTGTGCCACCCCTCAGCCCAGTGGGAGCCGGCACTGGGCCCTTCAGGGCCATGTGGTGGGTCTCTCTGCAGACTGCCTGGGGCTGGGGGGGGGGTGGTGGCAGCCAGCAGCTCTTTGGCCAAGGGGAGCTGGCTCTGGCAGAAGCAGATGGAAACCAACATTCATTTCTATGGAAACGCCAGAGAGGAGAGGACGAGGGGGGGGGCTTTGCTCGATCTGCTGCAGAATCTGGGGAGGCTGTTAGGCCTTTCGGGGTGTGTGTTTGTGTGTTTGTGTGTGAGCAGCTTCCAAGCTGGCTGAGAAGCTGCAGACGGGGAGGTTGGGCCCTGCGGAAGGTGAGCTGCAGGTGCAACAGGACGGCTTATTTGCTGTGGCAGGAGAACAAGCTAAGATTTAGATTTAGATTTCGTGTGTTTCCTTTCATGCACCGGAGCAAAACTTAATAATAGGCAAAATAATAGGCAAAAACAAAAAAAAGCCCCACAGCACCGAATGATGAGTTATGGAATCATTAAGATTTTATGGAATCAATGAAAATAAATCTGGTCCAAGGAGGCTGGGAGGAGGGGAGACCCCTTCGGTAGCAATTGGGGGGTGACAATGGCCCGGCATTGCATCTGACACAGGCCAAAAATTATGGAGGACCCCCAAAACCTTTCATTTTTGAAATTAATTAAAATAGATGCGTTCATTGACACAACTGCATCTCAGGATTGTTTGATTGGATTTTAATGTTGTATTATTTTTCAGCCTTAAGTCTGACAAGTCATTTTGGCCAGGTTGGCCTCCCTGGCACGTCAGGGGCATGAGAACAGCTGGGTGATGCCACCTTTCTTGGATACAAATTCCCCCCACTGCCCCGGAAGACTCCCTCGGATTGGCCCAACCCAGAGACAGGGGAGGGGGCAGGTGGGTAAAACTTAGAATAATCCCCTTCCCCTGAAACCAGGGGGGCAGATTAAGGCAATTATCCTGGTGCCCCCCAGCATCTTCTCGGTGGCCGTTGAGGGCAGCTCCCTTCAATGGGGAGATCTGGGACAAAACCTGAACTTGATGTATTTTCATTTAATCTCAATGTAAGCTTAATTAAAATGGAATTAGCCACCTAACGTGATGCATTTTCACTCTTGTATCCCATTAAACACAGCCATTTGAGGCAGCCTTGCGAGGATTGCACGCACTCACTCAGGAGAGGGGGTCCTAGGGACCCAGCCAGCGAGCAAGGGAGCGGTAGGGCTCACGGCACCCAACATGCTGGAAGCCGGAGAGAAAACGGAGCCGAGGGATGTGCCCTCCTTGTAGCGCATTGCGTGATGTGCGCCTTCTCCACCGGCTGCAACAGGTTGGCCATTTGGGCACCACATATCGCAGGAAGTCTTTCCTTGCACAACTTTTTGTTTTGGTGCCAGGCTGCATTTGCACAAGGGCTCATAACTTACACAAAACCCCAACCGTTGCACATTATGCAAGTGCAGCTGTGGGTCTTTCCTGACCGGGTTAAGCCTGTTGTGTGAATACTGCCACGCTGTGTTTTCCTGACTGACGTTTAGTGCTAGTGTGAAGCCACACCCGGCATAGCTCTTCCTCGGGCATCCGAGAGCTGCACCGTCCTAGGCTGAACTGAGCCTATTGTGGTTTATCCAAACTGAGGTGAGATTTGGTGGGCTTCCTTGCTTGAGATTCTCAGAAAACGCAGATCAGGGTTACATTTAACTGGGTCTCACATGCTCCTGCTTAATGGCGTCCAGAGTATTTCTGTGGTAGCCCTGCTAAGCGGGGGGGGGGGCATTGTCTTTCCCCTGCAAACAGACCCCCTTAAAGGCCAGGGGTTGTGTGAATAGGAGGGGAGGATTCTATACAGCAGCAGCAGCAGCTGTTCCTTGAGGACCCGCACCTTCCGGGCCAGCCTCTGGCCCCAGGACAGGGAACCCTCTGCCAGCTACCTGGCATCTTGCTGCCAAACATTGACTTGCCCTTTGCTAGCTGGCCGCTACAAACGCCAGGCGTTTATGGTATGAATTATTAGCATGGATTCTACGGGGATTCTATTAGGAGGTCGGGCCGCCGGGCGGGGGGAGTGGCGGCCGCTGTTCTGCCCAGGCCGGAGGAGGGGCCTCGGCGGGGCGGGGCGGGGCGAGTGGCTCCTCCTCCACAACCACCACCCCTCCCGCCGCGCTCCCTCTCTGCCGCCTCCCGCCCCGGCCGCGCTTCTACCAGCCGCGCCGCCGGCCTCGGGTGCAGCCCCAGCCGCCGGGCGGGCGGGCTCGCGGCCCCGGGAGCGGCGGGCGGAGACGGCGGGGCAGGGCGCGCCATGCGGCGGCTGCTGCAGCTGCTGAGCCTGCCGCCTTCTCCCTCCCGCAGGCCAAGATCGCCGGCATGATGGAGGGGAACCAGCAGCTGGCGCTGCGCATCGACGGAGCGCTCCAGGCGGCCGGGCAGGAGGTGAGCGCCCTGCGAGCCGAGCTGGGCGCCGCCAGCCGCAGACTGGCCGAGCTCAGCGCCGACGGCCTCCCCGGCGCCGCCGAGATGGCCGCGGGCGGAGGCGGCCCGGACCCCACGCAGCCCAGCCTGCAAGGTAAGCGCCGGCCGGCGGCCCTCCGGAGGGGACGGGGCGGGCGGGGGGTTGCTCTGCGCGCGGCGCCTCCCGGAGAGGCTCTCCGGCGGGCTCCGATCTCTGCGCCGCGCTCTCGGGAGGCGCCCCGGACCCGCCGCTCGCTGGCCGACCCTGAATCCGGCCGGGGGCTCCGCTAGCGGACTGCTGGGCCCGGCGCTCTTCCGCCCGCCCGCTGGCGGGCTGCTCTGCCTGTGGTCCCGGGCGGAGCCGGGGAAGCGCTGCCGGCCTGCCTCCTTCCTGGCTCGCGGCTCTTCTCCGCTGACCGGGCCGTGGGCCGAGAGAGGCGGCGGCGTGGGGGGGGGGCGCTGGCTCCGCCGGGCTGGTTGGCGAGACCCCGCCGGGGCCGCTGCTGGAGCTCGGCTGTGCCTGCAGAGCGGCCGGGGCTCCGGGCGGGCAGGTCGGGCATGCGGGGGGCTGCATCGGAGCGGCCTTGAAGGCCGGGGGGGGGGCTCTTCGGAGGGACAGCTAGGAGCCCCCGAGGAGGGGCGGGAATTGTGCAGAGAAGGGTTGGAGAGATGACGTCATGGGGCGCGAGGCTCTCGGTGGAAGCGGCGGCGGCAGCATCGGGCTACTTGCTGCCCCCCTCCCCAAATGCCAGTGCGGTGACAGTGACCAGCGTGCAAAGGAGCTGCTGGGGAAGCGGTGGGAGGTTAGGGATCCCCCCCCCGCCCAGGAATCGGGTGGACCTGTCCGCCGAATTGTGTGGCGTCCTTGCTTGGAACCGAATTCAACGATGTGTCCCTCCGTTGTTTATCTTTCTAGTAACAAGTCTGAATCTGCTTAGGAAATCACGTCTTCCTGGGATTTGTGGCGGGGGGGGGGCGGCGAGGGGGACTTGGCAGATGGAGCCATGAAGCTGTCTCTGCTGGGGCTTCTGGGGAAAGCGTTTTGTTAGCAGGCAGCCTTGTAAAAATGTGTGTGGGAGAGTGATTTGTGCCCACGGCAGGCAAACGTTAACCAAGGAAATGGTTGTGGAGCTACGGAAAGGGGGGAAGATGGGGGGAAGAGACTCAGCCCCACTGGCACAAGATGGGGGCTGGGGAACCACCGGGAGCAGCCTCCTCCGGAGAACTGGCTCTCTGCTGGGGGAGACTCCCCAGCACAGCTGAAGGGGGGAGACCCGGCATTCCCAATCCTTCTTGAGCTCTCCTCTGTGACCTGCAAGTGGAGCCTGTGGGAGGGAGGTGGTGGGGCAGGCCAGGAGTGGCCTTCAGGGGCTCCAGTTTCCCCACTGAGCCTGTGGGGCACAGCTGGTTGGAGGGGGGTCATCAGGCCCTGGAAGGCAGTGGTCTTTGCAGGTCCAGCCCTGCAGGGGTCTTGGACCTTCCCCCAGGGATTGCCAGCGATCTTGGAGGGAAGGAGCCTGATGCCACCTTTGCCAAAATGGGCACCCATCTCTTCCTGTTCTGAGCCCTATGAAGGGTGGCTGGAGGGGCTTTGCCACCAGGAAGCCCCCTACCCATTGACCTCTATCATTTGCTGCAGAAAAGGCTGTTAGCATTTTAGTACTGATTCGCTCTCGGCTCCTTTTAATCTTTTTTTAATTGTCTGTTAAGCGGATAGGCTGCCTTCCGAGGGAGGGGCACTCACATTTTCCCACCGCTTTTCTAAAGGGAAAAGAGTCAGGAAAGGTATCCCATGTGCCCCCCCCCCCAAGGCAGAGACACCTGGTCAAAGGTTGAGGCTGGAAAGAGCTTCAGGCCCCCTTGGGAGTTACGTGCAAGACCTACTACACGTTGCTGAATCTTAGTTGCCTCTTAGTTTGCCTCTTAGTTTGAACTGACCAGGCCTAGAATACTCTCTCTTCTAGCCCTGCAAGGTAGGATGGGCTCCCTCATCCTACTTTTCCAACTCTGCTTTTTCCTTGCATGTTTCCATTCGGTGTAAGCAAAGCAAGGAAGCAGTTTTGTCAACCTCTTTCCAGGGAGAAGGGTAGTTTTGGGGTCATGGGGGGTTTGGCTGTCGTGAATAATCAGGTGGCCAAGAATATCCCGCCAGTTGCCACCACCACCACCACCACCCGCCCGGAATTGCACCCTTCCCTTCCGCTGGATCCGAAGGGAAGCTGTGCTCTGCCTGCTCAGAAGCCTCTTCCTCTGCTTCTCAGCAACCGGAGGGGACGTATCCTGCCCCTGAAGAAGTTTCTGCTGTGCAGGGAAGGAGGCAGGAAGGGTTGGTGGCTGGGAGGGGCAGGGGTCTCCTGTCTCCCTCCCCCTTCCTGGGCCCCAGGAATACGCTTTCCCTGGCGGGGGGGTGCCCTGTGTCCCTTCTTGCCTTTCCTTGGGGAGCCAGGCTTCCCTGGTCGGTGGCTGGCATGGGCACCCCGGGGCAGCCTGACTTCGGGTCCTGTGCTGAGCTGCCATTCGGCTTGTGAGGAGTGGGCTCAGCCTGCTGTGTGACTCTGGCCTGGGCGCCAGGGCCTCTGCCAGCCCTTGAAGGGAAGCGCCCGTCAGCTGCAAAAAAAGGTTCTTTCCCATAGATTTGAGTCTGCGGAGTTGCTGTTTGCCCCCAAAGCTGGGGACAGGCTGGGCGTTGAACTGCAGGTGGGGCTCAGTGGTTGGGGGTCTCTGGCAGCTGGACAGAGGCTCTTTCAAGGCCGGTCGTCGCTGGTCTCAGGTGGCCCAGCTGAGCTCTTGACCACTCCTGGCTTGAGAGGTGAGGCTGCATCAGCCACAAGTGGCTGCCCTTTTCCATCCCCATAATGGCCACCTGGCGAAGTAGGTTGGGCTAAAACAGAGGAAGTGGCCCAAGGTCACCCCAAGAATTAGAAGAATTAGGAAATTCTAGTTGATCCAATGTTACTATCACTCACGCAAGTGGGGTTCTCTTATTTTGTCACTGTCAGTACGGCTAAGATGTCTGTACTGCCCTTCCCATTTTATGGCTGCTCTTCGTATTGTGGCCAGATTATGTCTGCTTTGGGGCAGCTGGACCAGGAGAAACTGTTGCCGTGATTGGCTTTTTTTTTTTTGATGGGGGGGGGGATGTCTTGGCGTTGGCATCTTGTGTCTCCGAGAGAGCTTGGCACTCTGGTGTAACGACTTCGCTAACAAGATATTTTGAAGGGGTAAACACAGCCTGTTAATTAAATTTGCAGGCCGTGATTAAATTGGAAGCGGTTGTAAATATGGAGAGGGGAAGTTCAGCAGCAGGGAGAGGTCTGTCAGGGCAGGGAGCCTCATGGCGGTTGATCCTGCAAAGTCCTTCTTTGCCCAGACGGGAATCGCTCACTGGGAGATGATGGGATCTGTAGTCTATGTTTGCATTGAGACATTTGGGGTGTGTGTGATGCATTAATACAGGACTGAGCTGTTCCCCTGGGACAGACCTTGATTTCAGCTTCCTTTTGCTGCTCCTGGCTTGATTCACCGGCCAGCCTGCATTTGCTTCTTAATGCTGATCTGGCTGCCTTGAAAAACCACCCTGCAGAGTCCTTTTCTTCCAGAAAAGAAAACATCTGTGTATCAAAATGTAAAAAAGCTAATAGCATTTTTTGTTCTAATATAAAACTGCTCCTCTTTGAACCGCTTCCCTTTTTTGAAGTGTAATAGAAACCTGGCACGCCAGCCTGTAATTAAACGGGTGTGTGTGTTCTCTCTCTTAAGCAGAGGAAGCGTTTATGTCTTCTGAGGAGACACCCCACTAAAAGGGAAGGGTGCGTGGAAAAGATACCACCCAGTGATTTATTTCCTGTGAGGAGGCTGAACTAAAATCACCAACAGTGGGGGAGGCGTGGAAAAAAAGACACATTCTGTATTTAGCTCCATTCAGTTGCTAAACCTGACAGGTTTCCTTTGGGATGTGCTGAATCTCCTCTCCTCTTTTTCTCATAAAAATCCTCCACCCCCACTTGAGGAAGGGGGTTCTCATCCTGAAGCCTCATTCTGGGGATTCCAGTAAAGATCCTTCTCAGCAACGGTGGGGGGGGAGGCAAATCCATTTGCTTTAGGCAGCGGCTACATATGGCAGAGGCGTAAATGACTCCAATAGGTGAGTCAGGCTAGGCTTTTGGGGGGAGGGGGCTGCAGGCAGTGGGATTCCTAGCCCCCTCCCTTTGCCTCTTCAGTCCCAGGAGGAGCAGAGGTCAGACGGGATGGGAGACTTGAGATCCGAAACGGTCCGGACATTTGCCCTCCTTCCTGCTCACTCTGGCCTCTTGTCTGGGTACCGAGTCTCGCGCCGTGGACATTGGGGCAGGGAGGGCGCCCCAGTTGGCAAGGGCGCTGTGGGGGGCAGCCAGCTGGGGCAGCTCTTTGTGGTTTTCCCAGCCAGGCTGAAGCACGTGGGACCCTGGGGAGGAGGCATCCAGCAGGTCATGGAAACTTGCAAGGAGGACGTGGACGTCTTTGATCCGTGGCCAGATGCTGGGAACTGAGCCAGCCCTGTTTGTGCCTCAGGACGTGGCTGGCCCACGGCAGCCATGGGGGAGGCTTCCTGTTGCAGCTGCCCCGGAGCTGCGGCCGTTGGTTCCAGAGGCCTGAGGGGTCTGTGGGTGGTAGTGACCGAGGGGGGAGCAGAGGAAGGAAGCCCCCTTCAGGGACTTAACCTTCCTGGGCCTTTCCAAGACCACCTTCAGAGGGTTCCTCCATGCCCGGCCCAGAATGAAGTTGGGGAGAGAGATCAGCTTTTTCGGATCCCCACCTGGACCAGCTCGGCCATCATGTGGATCTGGGATCTGAACCCAAAACGGTTGCACACAACCTTGAGATCTGGCAAAAGTGCACTATAATTTCAAAGTTAATAAACAGCGTCTGATGCAAAGTTGCTCTTTGGATTTGGCAGGAGTTGTATTAAACCCGCCTTGAATAAAAGTTTTCCATAATATTTATCCACCTCTATAAAACTGGGGGCCTCTAAAGTGAAGCCAGAGGCCAAGTGGACGCCTGGTGCCTTTATCGGAGGTGCAAAGTCAGCACTTTAGCTGCGCCTTCTATAAACCTTGAGATGGACCGGCAGCCTGG